GACGAAAGGTTTCATGTAAACCGAATCTAAAGTGACAAGATAAATAATCCTGCGCGCACCCGGTGCTCGACGCGGTGCGTGACATCTTGCTGGAGGGAAATCTGACACTGACTGTGTATTTATACCACCGGCACACAGTAAATTACAAGCAGACATTTTATTATATAGTTAATACATTTATGGAATGTATTAGTAGTGTCAGAAATAGCATTAAAAGCTAGCACGCAGTTAAAGTATAACCTAAACCACTTCAGATATATTGTATGTATATTAACAATCATTTAGTTTAAATTTGGGAGAGAACATGTAAAAAAGAAAAAAGTGTCATCTATGTTTTATATAATCAAGCTTTTTTTGTATTTTTATACTTGAAGAGGATTCATACGCACGTTTAACACATTTATTCTGTAAATTTTTATTTTTCTGCGTTAAAGATTTCTTTATTTTTTCTGCTAACCATGAAACAAACCATTAACACATTGTATCGTAGAGACCAGGAGAGGCGCCAGATGCTCGCGGCGGGCAGGAACATGTATAGAAAGCACATGAAACAATCACCTCTCTGATAGGATGGCCTCATTTTGTAGCTGTTTTCCTCTACTATAACCAATAGTGTGCATACACTACACAGATGATACAATTCAAACTGTTTATCGATGGTTTCTTGATGAATGTGTGATTGTTCAAACCATTTGTGGGTGTTCAAATCATGTATATAAACCCAGATAATATATAACAAAATGGATTTTATGTGAAACTTTTATAGAAGGAATTAAAAAAAGAGGAAAAAACTCTCCAAAATGGCATGCATACTGTATACATTCCTGGAAATCTGCACGCTGGGTCAACAGAGGTCTCATTTTCTTGTCAAAAATTCTGTGTATACTTGTGAGTGTATGATAGAGTAAAACAAAAATTGTACAGTTACTTAGATTTTTGTATTATGTTCCAAATGGCAAAGTAAAGCCCCCAGAGAAAAAAAAAGAAAAGAAAAAACACGACTATTATACCTTCAGAGAAATGAACGATATTGTATATCAACTAAATGATGAGTGGTGCTTGCTGTGTGGGGTAAGTGTTGTTTGTGAATCGTGAAGAAGAATGATAAACTACTACAAAGTCAGTATAACTAAAGACCAACTAAACAGTGCAAAAACACTGCGCAACTTTGTGTGTGGAAGCTAAAAGTTGCTGCTTCGTGTGAGAAAAACCAACCGAATGAAAAAGGTTGCTGCTTTTGTACATCCTGTTGTGTTTTTGTGACAATAAAGGTGACCCTCTTATAAACGACGAGTGTCGGCGCCTCATTTATTTGACTCGGGCAGCTCATCCTTAATAATGAATGATAAATGTATTACCGTGTAACGATGAGAGGAACCGCTTTAATCTTGTTGATTCTGGAGCCTTCCCTCTGGACAAATAAAGGTCTCAGATTAGTTTAAACACTAACCAAATATGCGCTCGGTTAAACCTGAGCTGCGGTGTGATGAGGTCGGATCAACTTTCATTTAGATTAGATGAAAGTTTAATGAATTATGAAGGGAAGCCGAGCGTAATGAAGAAGATTAACAAAGAGAAGGTGTAAGCCTCTAAACATGCTGGTATTTATGTGGCTAGAGTCATCTGAAGGTGCTTTACTAGTTCATACATAGTACAAAAGAATTTGGAAAACCATGAAAAGTTTATTTATTTCACAATTCAATTAAAAAGGCAAACTTTCACATTTACTCATATATTGTGTAAATCCCCCTTTTTTGCTTTACTTTGAATGATGGTGGTTTATAGGTTAGGAAAAATCTGAAATCCAGGCATCAAGTTATTAGAATCCATCAAAAAAGGATATGTAATTGTAGAATGTTTAGCTGATTTTAGGGTTTAGAAATGTGTTAACATAGAATGTAGAACTATTGTAGAGACACTGCCCTCAATATAATAAAGGCCTCACTGTGTCGTGAACTTAGGAGTAGATTGTAGGAGACCCCTCCCCCACTTGAACTGTGAGAGTAAAACAGAGAGGAGTTAATGCTGAGTGGAATTTCCCCAGAGGATGTTTGGGTGGGGGTCTCAACATTTGTAACTGGATAACTGTCGTCTGGAAGAGAGATGGGTTTTATGACCTAGGGAGTCACCTACACCCACAGTGTTTTAACTGTCACGCACACACATCCACACGCACACTCACTCATGTGCACTCATACATACACACAGGTATGCATACACAGTCACACACGAGCACTCACATAGACACGCGGGAATGCGCACATGTAGGCATTCATGTGCTCGTGCACATAGACACAGACAGAGTTTGCAGCACACCGTGGGGGGTTTTATGATGGGGACGCCTCTATAAAGCTGGCTGTAACTAACAAAGGGGTGAAGATTTGGAGAGGGACACCGGCCTCGTCTTCCCTTCTAGAAGTGCATGCTTAAATGAAGATGAATAAAGGTTTTGTGAAATGACTACTGAGTCCCGGTGCCGTCTCTGGAAGTTTTGACGAATAAAAGAACCGGGGTAAAACTGATTTCTCAAACGTCCAACTTATGAAGAGCATGTCTGTATTTTAAGGTTGGCTGTTTCTAATCTTCCAGGTCCAGTCTGACAACAGTCAGCAAACCAGCTATGTTTTCCTAGTTAATCCCCAGCTCTCACTTCCGACGAAATACTATGAGGCATACAGATCGACGCCAACAGATTTCATGTTTTCTTATTACTGATCTATGACAGTCCTTCATCACATGAATAAGACAGAGATTCACCAATCAAATGATCCACCACACTAGTCTGCAGACAAGTTATCAGCAAACGGAACCACAAAGTGCTCTAAAATATCTTCCTAGACACGGTGTTGACTTTGGACTTGATAAAACACAGTGGACCAACCCACACCAGCAGATGACAGATGGCCCAAAGTCTCACAGATTGTGGAACATTTACACTGGACTTCACGCACCTTGGATTCAGTCTGTCTCCAGTCTTCCTCCAGACTTTAGAACTAAATAAAATGAAAACTTTACCTTGATCTGAAGAAGACTGTTATGCTATTATTCAGAGGTGGTTTGATATCAGTAAGGGGACAGTGAGGTGGCCCCTGATGCTCTAACACAAGCCTCAGTCTGCTGCTTGTGAAGCTCTGCTGAGATCTTGACTCAACTTTTCCTTAGAGTCCTACTTTTCCCTTTGGTAATCCCCAACTTTCCATTAATAAGCTTCAGTACTGTCTTAAAGCACTGTGTGGCAGGCAAGATACGGACTCAAAATGCACGACTCAGGAGACAGAATGTGAAAAAAAGGCAGTTCTAATGCTGAAGACTTTCCAAAATACAAAAATAGGGCAGGGCTGGAGCCAGGAATATAAAACTAGGAGTCTAGGGAACGCGACAGAACAGAGGAGCACACGGCGTTGAGTAAGGATGTGACAAAGGACAAGAGGAGATTCAGAGAATAAATACACACCGGATAAAGAGGGGAGTGGAAACAGCAGACAGCACAGCTGGAACAAATCAGAGATAACAAGACAGGGAAGTCAAACTAGATAGAAATCACAAGAGACCATCAAAATAAAACTGGAAATAACCAAGACAGAGACTCAAACATCTGAGACTGACAGAGACATAATACAGACATGGAGACAAGACTAAACGAACAGAATAGGATCACAAAAGGGAAATACCGAACCATATTTAGTTTAGAGCAAACAAGGCACTACAGACACACAACCCAACTCGAACATAACCCTGGAAGATATAATAAATCAAGGGAAACAGGAACATTAACACTGATGTAACAAAACGAGAGAAACAAATGTCTTCAAAACAAACGGTATCACAAATCCACGGAGAAATTCAAGACCCAGGGGCCAAGACAAATACAGCAAGCCTTTTCAGCTGCGCCCTTCTGTGGCTTATTCACATCATCTGAACAACTGTCAAGTCTGCAGACTTCCCCATGATGAAAAAAGTTCTTTTTTGTATTTTATTATCTACTATCAACGTTGCCTTTGCCCTACATATTACACCACGTATAAAGACTGAAATTACAGTCACACCTACTCTGGTAAGAAAATCAACTGAAAACAAACAAACATTCAAAATGAAACAGAAAAATGCAAAACTTGTCAACAATTTGCACAGTTACAGTGTTGTCCAGGTGCTTTTTGCTGCCAGAACAGCCCGGACCTGTCGAGTCATGGACTCCATCAGACCCCTGAAGGTGTGCTGCGGTATCTGCACCAACATGTTAGCAACAGATCCCGTAAGTTGAAAGGTGGGGCCTCCATGTTGGACTTGTTTATCTAGTTCTGTCTCTACCTCACTTGTGGACTCAGCTTCTATTTTTACTGATCCCCCTTTTGATTTACCGCCATTTAGTTCCTGCAACTACTAATGGTTAACACAAAGAGTCCTTTTTCAGGGTCACAGTGAAAATAAAAAAGGAAACACAGCTGTATAAAGTGTTGGCTAAATCATAGACTGCTTTAACTTGGTAGTTTTCTCATCTGGATTTGAAAGGCCAACGTTTCATATCGTTTACACATCTGGATCCTTTCATACGCATTTGTTTGTTCAGGCTTTTACTGTGAAGTTTCTGTTAGAGAAGAAAAAACTGAAAAAGATGGCCAAAGATCAGAAATAACAAGATGAGTTTATATGCAAATTATATAAAGTTTTTTTTCTCCAGAGGCCACACTGAACTTTCACACCTTGCATTGATGACGCAGTCATGTATAATTATATCTTCACATATTTAGTTTTAGTTTTTTGCATGCTGTGACTTAGAGTCCGCCTTTATCTTAACTTTGGCACTGTTTCCTTCAGCATACCAAACAGGCTACATTTCAAAGTCAAGCTCTTGTCAGGCGTTCCCAATCATCTGTAATTTATTCATATAGAACAGGAACATAGCTTCATACCAGCAGCCCTTCCCTCTTACTCCGATCCTTGACTTCCTGATTCCTGCTCTGAACTAACCCCAGCCTAATATTCTCTTTTACCCACTTCTGTGAAAGTGCTGTCTGTTTCAAGAAGAAAGAACCAAAAGCATCGTTGAGGCATCGAAAGACAGATAACAGTGAGTATGGATGAGCCTCAAAATTAATCTAAGTCATCATGACCCTAAATATAACCTGTGAGAATATGTCATTTTGTTTTAAATTGCTCTCCTAAGGCTGGGTAACGACACGGGGGTCAGGGTTTGGGATAGAGGTCAGGTTTTTTTTTTTGTCCTTATTATTATTCATAATTAATTTATACCATGTACAAATGTTTACTACGTACGATACAATACACTAGAAGACATGCATATGCACAAAAAGTGCTGTGGGAACGTATTGTTATGTGCAGTGTTATGTTACCACATGAATTTAATGTCAAACATTTCAATAGCAACTTAAAAGGTTGTCAAGCATTTGGGAAAAACAGAAGATGCAAAGATAACTGATTTGAAATGTGACAAGGCTGTTGTACAAATTTAATCAGTCAGATGAAGGGTGATAAAAAAACAACCTTCCTGAAAAAAACAGGTTTGTTTTATCACTCTTCATCTGACTGATCAAATTTATGTGGTTGAATAAAATCTAGTCACTTCAGAATGTATTCAAATCTCCCCTCTTCATTTATTAGACTGTAGATTTCATAAACAATGAATGAGATTGTTTGAGACAGTCATGGCTGAGTCATCCAAACTCTGGGGACCCCTGACGATTGCCCCTTTTCCACTAGCACCTTTTTGCCTCGACCAAACTCTAATAGGTTTTTAGAGTTTTCCATAGAGTTTACCAGGTACTTTTTTGTACCTACTTTCCCAGGGTTCCAAGTGAGCTGAGTTGGGTCAAAAATGTGATGTCAGCAGATGGAAAGTCACCGATTGGCCAGGGAGTGACAATCACTGGCTAAGTCATGAAAGCAACCCGTTCACGAAGAATCAAACCCTATTTTTGAAACGAGAGAAGTGGGCACGCACAAACCAACACGGTGGTCTGACACTGAGGAGCAGGTATGCCATCACCTCCATGTCCTTCATTTTTGTGTTGTGTTTGTGCGGCAGGCAAATGACATCACAGCTCTTTCAGGCTGCCTCGCTATAACAACCCCACCCAGACTGAGGTGTGACTCGGTTGTATTGGAAAACAAGCAAAACCAAGCAGAGTAAAGTCGAGCCAAGCAGGTGCTAGTGGAAAAAAGGCACGACATGATCATTTTCTCATTACGACGTCTCCAGCTAACAGGTGGGCTATTGGCTAACTTTTACAATTTTGTGCTTTCACAGCACAAAATACTGAATTTTAAGGCAGTGCAAAATTAAAAAACAAAACAAAAAAGGTGTTAGGGGTTCATTAAAAAGAGTTTAAAAAGACGTGAATCATCTGGTTTCACGTCCTGTTATTTTTCTTTGCAGGGAGGAAAATACTAACATCGGCCACTTCAAGGACAAGAACTTGATTTATTTATCTTCTTCTAAACAGCAGTTGACTTTATATTTAGCTTGAGGTGGATTATTGTGCAGCGCACACATAAAAATGGAAATGTTTTGGGCCACATTTGGATTCACGGCTTCAACTGACCTGGATGAAAATGGCAAAGCACGTTTGGAGAGATTTAGGAGGCTGTACGACCAACTTGAAGATGGCCTTGGGCGAGATTCTAAGTGCTTTGTACAGGCAGCTGCTGCAGATGATGCAAATCTGGAGGGTTCTCGGAACGAGGTGGTCCAAGCTCCGTTTGTTTGGTTTGGAGGCACTTTTAGTGGAACTTTTGGAGGCATCATTGGTGCAACATGTGCCACTTTGGGAGCGGTTTGCGCAATGATTTACTCCAAACTTTGTGGAGATGTTGATACAGTTAGTGCAACGGTTGGCTTTGTGAGCAGCGTATTTGGGGGAGTAGTCGGAGGAGCGTTTACCGGTGCAGTTAGTGGGTCGGTGAATGCGGCAGCTTTAGTAAAAGATAGAGAAGATTATGGCTTTTTTGGCGAAGTGTTATGTTTCACTGTTGGCTGGGCAATCGGTCACGGAATCGGCCGCTGTTTTGGTCGGCAAGTAGGTGCAGCAGGTGGTGCTATAGGTGGAGGATTTGGGGCTTTGTATGCAACGAGAGCCACAGTTCGTATAAGCAGAAGTTTAATCAAATATAATTATAAGAAAAATCGAAAAGCAGAAATGATGAGGAACGCTAGGGGAGACAAAAGCTTCCAAACACTTGTAAAAGAGTTGAAAACAATAGAAAAGACTGTCAACAACATGTTCTCCAGCGATGCTGTGAAAGACGTCGTGGATTAGGGTGCAAAGATTCTGACTGCTGTGACAGGGATGGAGAAGTGTGTGACGAACGGTCAGTGGACGGCAAACGGTCAGAGTTCCTCTCCTGTTTTTAAGAAGCACCAATCCCAGAAGAGCTGCAGAGGATGAGCGAGGGAGTGGAGAAACTCTGAGGCTGTCGGTGAAACAGCAGCTCTGAACATTTAGTGTTTATATTTAGTTGATTTTTTTTCTGAGTTCCTAAATTCTCTTTTTGATTCATTAATTTTTCCAAAATGCTACAATATCGAAACTCAACCCTTTTCTTGTTAAACATGTCAGTGGGATTTGGGGATGCTTTAACAACTGCTGTCAGATTTCTGTGTAATGTTGTTTAACTACTGTTGTTCTTTCTACTTTGTGCTCTTTATGATGCTTGTTACCCCCACAGAGAGGGGAAATCCCTGCCCTCTCAGATACTGTTCAAAGATGAAGGCAAGGCAAGTTTATTTATATTGCACAATTCAACAACAAGGTGATTCAAAGTGCTTTACAGAGACATTAAAAAACAAAAACAATAAAAAGCATGATTTAAAATTGATAAAAAAAACAGTAGATAAAATCAGTAGTAAAAATATAAGTTTTGAGATTTAAGCTTAAAAGTGTGGATTTTGTGTTTTTATTCAAATGCAGCTGAGAACAGGTGAGTCTTCAACCTGGATTTAAATAAACTGAGTGTTTCAGCTGATCTGAAGCTTTCTGGGAGTTTGTTCCAGATATAAGGAGCATAAAAGCTGAATGCAGCTTCTCTGTGTCTGGTTCTGACTCTGGGAACTGATAAAAAAACGGATCCAGATGACCTGAGGGATCTGGAAGGTTCATGGGTCAGAAGGTCACTGCTATAAAGTGACTGCTATAAAGATTTAATTTATAGCTTTATACAAATAAAGCTATAAATTAAATCTATAATGATATTTTTACACTTTTTAAATGTAAAATGATTTCTGGTTAACTTTTGCTCATTACACCTCTGCTTCTTTTTACAAAGAGGCTTGTCTGATGTTTCCTTATTTGTCTCGTTGTAATCATGTGGAAGTGGCACAGTTTCACAGCAACAGGCCCGCCCTCCTCCTCTGAACACTCCCCAACCTCAAACATTACTTTCACTATTTCTGTGCAAGTGTAGTTCATTTTGTGAAGAATGCACCAAATGTAATGGAAATGTCTCTCTGTCAAGCTGACCTTACTTACTGAAAGGCTACATAGTTTGTTAATAGAGCTCCAAAGACATACCACATGTTGATGTACAGCAGAAGGTTTCACACACTGCTCTGAATTTGTTTGGTTAACATATCAGATAAGTAACTCGTCTCTGTTGTTTAAATTGTTTGTAAAGGGATAAAATAAAAATATTCATGAATACCTGGTGGTGTGCACCTCGAGCTTTGTGTCAACAGTGGGCTCGACTGGCTGATTGGATATGGGGCCTAAACAAAAACCTAGAACCTAAACAGGGAGGAAACTAGAAACAAGTATAAAGTAACTGAACTTGACACAACTACATGGGAAATCAGAGAAGGCCAGGACAAGCTCAACATGGAGACACGACTGGGAAATCAGAAAGGGATCACAGAACATAGTAACTAAATATTACCAAAAACCAAGCACAGGTACTTTGTTACTGTGCTTAAGTAGAATTTTCAGGTAACGGTACTTGAGTTGTTTTTTTCTGACAACTTTTTGATTTACTCCCTACATTTTAAATCAAATATCTACTTTCTACTCCTTACATTTTCAGAACAGGCTTGTTACTTTTAGTTTAAGGTATTTGAGGCTAGTTATTAGTTAGTTATTCAAGTCACTACGAACCTTCAAACATCAAACTGATTTGCGCCTAAACAGTAAAACATCAAAGGGAATCCTGTTTGTGTATTAATCACCAGGTAAAAAGAGATAAAAGAGGCAAAACTGTATACAGTGGTCCTTCGCTTTAACACGGTTCACCTTTCGCTGCCTTGCTGCTTGGCTGATTTTTTTTTTTCGGTGCAGTTTTGCATGCTTTTTGTTTTTACAGCACGTTGTGTTCTCCGTCCTGATTGGCTGTAGAACATTGTCAATCAATCTTGTGCCGTGTCTCCTGTCCAGTACAGAATGTGTTCAGTTTGTCAAATTTAGATAAATCTTTGATTGCTAGCAGTGTGACTCTGAAGTGCTGCACTGTATGTTTGTAAGTTTTCCCCCCAACAAACACAACAATGTCGAGGAAACGTTTTGCACTGTCAAAGGCACCTGCAGTAGCACCCAGAAGGCAGAGGATGATGATAACCATCGCACAAAAAAATTGGACTTCTGGACATGCTAAAGGAAGGTAGAAGTTACCGTATTTCCCAGACTATACGGCTCATTAAGCGAAACAAAACATTCAGATAAGTCAAACTTTACTCAACTCATTCTTCTTGCTTCCTCCACTTCAGTACCATTGATTCATTAATGTTGAATTCTCTCACAGCTGCTCTATTCTCATGTTCTGGACCTGAAAACAGGGTTTGATCTTTGGTTTCATTCTATAATAGTGGACTTATTTTTCTACGAAGGTTTGACTGAGGGTGTGTAAACAAGAGAGAAAAGTGTGTAAATGTTCCTGCCTGTCTGAGAAAAGTGTATAAAGTGTGCAGTGAGGGGTTTTACAGCCTTAAAATGGTTAATAATAATAATTGTAAAAAATGAAGTCGGCTACTTTGCGGATTTCACCGAGCGGGAGCGTAACTCCCGCGATAAACGAGGGACTGCTGTACCACAGTCAGGGGTTAAAGTGGGCCGGGGGGTTATTTATCAATATTTAAGGACTGCAGGGGTCCATAAGTTGCGGTACTTTGGCATGAAGGGAGTGATATTTTTTAAATCTCAAGTTATTTGAAATGCAACCTTTTTATCAGCTTGAGACACATTAGCAAACACACAACCTGTTTGTGTGCAGTCTGTCACACAGTGTGTTGTTAGCTAAAGGTGCAGCTGCTGTATTTTACAGGAAGAGAAAAGAAACAGTGAACTTCACTCAGAGATGGAGAAAGATAAGAAAGGCATGACAGACCAGGAAGAAGAGCGCTTCGATTTAAAGATAAGGACTGCTCAGTGGCGATTGATAAACTGGAAATATAAAGCTTAGATGTAAGTCCTCAAAGGTTCAACGAAAATATTCAGGAAACTACTGCAGGTTAATGCAGGATGAACAGGTTAGTTTGCTGTACTGTGATGGACTTAAAGTTTCTCCCACTGTAACCTCTTCTATACTCAAGTCACCCTCTACAACGGAAGCAACAGAAAACAGAGTTTTCTCAGCTCATGTTCTACTTAACTGATTAAACCCAAGAAGATTTATAAGAAATAAAAAAAGGTTTGTATTTCTATGTACTAATATAATTTTATTGTTACAGTACTGGATCTGCAACTCAGTGTTTTGTGTGTTTTAGTTTTATTCTTTGATTATTGTATGTTCTGAGTGTTTCCTGTTTTATGTTCTGTAAAAGTCTGTTGTGTCGTTATCATTGTTTTTAGGTTCCCTTCGGCTGTAACGTCGTTAGGCTCATTTGTGTCTGCTGCTTCCTCATGTGTTTCCACTCTCCCTGATCACTAGGGCTGGGTATCGTCACTGATTTCTAGAATCGATTCGATTTCGATTCACAAGGTTTCCAATCGATTCGATCCAATTCAATTCGATTTGAATCGGGTCAATTTTGCCTCAGACAGTCAAAAATATTGTAATTCTGATCGCGTATCAGTACATTTCCATATCTTTATTTCTATAAAAAGAAAGCTGACACTTGCGAGACTTTATCAAAGGTGTGAGCATCACAGCAGATGCTTTTGTGTCAAAGTAACAGGATAAAACACAGAAAAACATGAAGGCGACTTTCCTGGCCTGATTTTATAGCAGATGGCCTTAAAATATTCTGCAGTAGATCAAAAATGAAAGAAAACCATTAATCAACACATGAACATTACCTGATGCTGCTGAAGTGAAGCAGAGCAAAGTTACAGAGGTTTTATTAGAGACACAGCTGAGCCTTTTGCAATTTTGCACAATTTTAAAAAGTTTAAATTTGTTCAGTAACCTATTAAACAGCAGAAATGAGGTTTTCTTTTCGGAAGTAAGTAAAAGGAAAAAAACATCGGCCGACAGCCTGTAAACAACGGTAGACTTGTGCGTAACAAGCAAGCGAATAATGTAGAAAACTGATTTTTAGACGGGAAACTGAGAGAAAGAGAGAGAGAGACAGCAAGCTCTGCATGAAGTGTGATTTTATTGTGGTGGAAGCAAAACAGGAAAAGTAAGAGTGAATTCAGGATCATTTGTTCCACGGGCTGCACAACAGTCAGGTGCGGTGGTAAGGTGGACTAATGGGCATAATAATGCCCTTTCACAAGCTTGCCCACACACTCAAAAACCAAATCACAACATAGAAAAAATTCAACTCAATTTAAAGCAAATTAGCCAGAATTAAACTGAATTAATATGGAGTGAACTGAAACCAAAATACAACAGCTTACCTCTTAAACTGACAGTAACAAGAGAAAAGTTTTCAAAATAAAATGCAGCAGTATTCACCCAAATAAACTGCTCACAAAGCCAACAGTCGCACCGACCGCATCAACATCTCATCAAAATCAGCTGAAAGCTGCTGCACAAACTGCCCCCAAAGTGCCACATACTCCACCAATGCAGCATCCATAAACTCCCCTCCAACTGCTCCACATATAGTAAATAGTGCTTGGAGCCTTTTCACAAAACTCTCCTCTCTTTCTTTGTGTGGAAACTGACTGGTGAAGATGTTTGCATTCACTGTAGAGCCACATGTCGCTGCTGCACACAAATCCACATGTAACTGAAAGCACGTCTGCCTGAGTGGGAATGAGAGGACAGGCTCAGAGGTAGTTTGACATTAATAAACAGAGTTCTTCTCCTTGAAGAGATTCAGGTTAAGAGTCTTTCCCTGAAAATAAAAACAAAAAGATTTGAAACTTGTCCATCAGATTCTGATTTTTCTTTTTCCAATTTTGCTTTAAAATCTAACATTGTTTACCGTCTAAAACTTGTCAATGTGTGAAAACCCCTCAGACTCTATTGAAATGGTAGACAAAGCCACTAAATAACCAAAGACAAGCTTCAAAATCAGAAAGGTACCAAAGCTTGGTGTGCACTGTGATGATGTGTGCTGCAGCAGGCAGGAGGAAGGACCCAAATGCAGGACTCTCATAGAGCAAAAGTTAAACTCAAAGCGGCAGCTTTATTTGCTGGGGAAAACTCGAACATGAATACAAGGAAACAAAACTAGAAACTTGAAGCAATAAGCACCAACTAAAAAACTGGGAAACTATAAAACAAAACTGTGAACAGAGAACTCGAAAGCCACCATTAACACAAGGAGAAAACGCAGCACGGAGAGGGTGTGACACAGCAACGATCAGGGGAAGACTAAAATACACAGGCAGGAACATGACAGGATGGGGAACTGGTGGAAACACTGTTGGGCCTAAAAGACAAAATAAAACAAGGGAAAGAAAAACTAGATACTAGGACAAGGACTATGAAAACAAAACAAGAAACACACAGACCGAAACTTAGACTGAGGACACACAAGCTTAACGCAGTAACTGGGGAGAATTGTTCATAAGCATAAACTCACAAAAATCCAAACTAGACACAGAAAATGACAACTAGAAACAAAACACTGGAAATGAGAACTAAAACACTAAGAAACGTGGAACTAACACTGAAAGCAGTTACACGGGGAGATGTAGACACACGCCAAGATAACTACTAAGGGGGGAAAGGACTACAATCACCAAGAGCTAAAGAAAACCCAAACTGTGAACAAGAATAATCGAATAATAAAATGACAGAGTCTGAAACACAAGTACAGTGACATGACCCATACCAAGAAGTGGCAAGACTGTCCAAGGGTCAGCCAGCCTGTCAGTCCCTGAGAGCACGATACAATGTCTGTTGATAGGTAGTCACACATGTGTCCAATGAAAAAAACAAAAAAAAAACTTGTGAATTTCTTTCCATTGGCATGAAAATATGTCTTTTTTTATGCAGATCAGCTGTTGGATGTGATGCAATGACAAAATGAGTAAATGAACACACTACAGAGTGCATATCACTGAGTGCCAATTAAGGGACCAACGCGTGACTGAGGTCCATCCACATCAAACTCTTTCTGTCATGTCTGGTGACTCCATGTTTATGTTTTGTGTTTATCAATTTTTAGTGTTTTCTAGTTTTTTGGTGTTTGTTTTTTCTTCCAGTGTTTAGGTGTTCTCTGTGCGCCCTTTGTTTTCATGCTATTTTACTTGACGGTCCCTTGTCTCATGTCTGTGTCTCTAGCCTCCCCTTGTCTTGTCAAGTGTGATCAGTCCCAGCTGTGCTCTCCTCCTGTGTCCATTCCCTCGTTATCCCTCAGTGTATTTTAGCCCTGTGTTTCTCTCTGTTAGTGCCGCGTCGTCTCCTTATGCTGTGTGGGTTTCTCCTGTTGGGCTCCCTGAGATCACCATCCCTAGTTTCCCAGTGTTTTGCTTTTAGGTCCCAGTTTCTAGGTTTTAGTTTGGTTTTTTTAAGTGTTTTTTTGTGTAAGTTGCAGTAAAGCAGCCTCCTTCAGTTCATCCCCGTGTTTGAATTCTGCACTTGGGTCCTTTCTCCTGAGTGCCACAGCAGAGAAAGGACGGCAGTGACTACATTACATTCCTCCATGTAAATTCCAATTAGTAAGTTGTGGAGCAGGAAGTGAGCAAAGAATGTCCGTTTACATTCCTGCTGCAATTTTTACATTTTCCAACAGCTTTGTTTGTTTTTTCATGACAGAGTTCTAGGTTGACATTAAAGTGTATATTAACTCTCTGAGGTCTAACTGGTAATAACGAATGTGAAAATAAAACCAAAAAATCCCCCAAACGACATATTTGGTTTTATTAGGATTAATGTTTGTTTCATTGCTGATGAAGACTAAAACCTCAGAAGTTGAACCCGAGCCATGACAAAGTCGGTGTGGCAGCTTATTAACTAAGGTACCAAGCAAAACGTTCTTGCAAATTAGGAGTAAAATCTGATGTTTTAGTGCTGTTCACAAGTCATTATTTGCAAGTCTCAAGTCTCTAACAGCTGAAATTGATGTTCTAACGTCCAATAAACACCAAATGGTCTCCCCAAAACAACTTGTGTTATGTTATATGGTTTGTGCTGTATTGATGCTCCACAATTAGAGCACACTCACTTAAGAGGACTGTTTCAATAAACATGAATAAAAACAAGTAAAGTGAAAACTTGCTCAGTTGAAGTCGATAAATTTGAACTTTATTGTTTGTTACAGCTGGATGCAAGACTCGAGTCCCAAACCTCGACTCTGAGTCTTTATTGTACAAGTCCAAGTCAAGTCTGAAGTCTTTGGTTTTTTGAAGTGTAAACTGTTTTCAATGCATACTAGAATTGTTATCTCTATTGTACACTGACTGAAATACTTCAGAGAACAATAAAAAATAAATAAATGATATATCCTGATATTGTTATTGCAACAATGATGACTTAGACCTCCAAAAGTCACACTGAGTTTGCAATGTTTACCTGTACGCAGTGTTTCAATGAACCAGCAACTGTTTTCACCTCGGTGATGCCTTTGGTGCTTAGTTTTTAGATGATTCTCACACAGAAGGAGGCACAGTAATATCTGAGTAATCAGAAAGCTAAAGAATGGAGTGGAAGGGCGGGACTATTACTGTTCCAGTTCAATATGGTGAGAGGGCCACAAACAGGGACTGCCATGATTCAGCCTCTATAGAGCTGTAGCTTTAGTAGAAAGAGAACAATGGCACATAACAAATTTGGAGCCATGTTTAAACATTTAAAAAATTAAAAGTGTGAAGAATCATAACTTAATTTTACAGCGTCATTTATTTCAAATCAGAAAAGAAAACTCCACTGAAATAAGATCATTTAAATCGTCTCTATTTGCTGCAGCCCAGTTGTCAAAAGGGGAAAAAAAACCATTACTTGGTTATCTCTCCTCGACTTCCTTCTGATTTGCTGATCCTCCAAAATAAACATTGTTTTGCTGGTGGGCGGGGCTTCAGTGGCAGGGATATTCCCTCTCATTCACATTGTACACAGAGTGGACAAAAAATGAACCTTTATAATACAAACATCCTCCAGTGTAACAATATACACATATGATAGAACATAATGAACGACACAGGAAATCATTCCTGCCTGTTGCCATCTCTCTGTACAACTCCTCCATCTAACACACTTTTTAAAATAATTTTGGAAAAACCTGAGGTGAAAAAATGCACATGGACTGAGATAAAAAATCAATAAATAAAACAACTATTTCTGACGCTTATTTTTGAAAATCATTGTAAAGCTCAAGCATTCACCTGCTCATCAAGTCTAACCTTGGTAGCATCTGGTAACATTTACATTGAATGCATTTATTCATCCTTTTGTATGTAGATGCTTTTACTCAGTTGATCCTTAAATTTGGGGGCTTGTGCGTTTTCCATTTCTGCAGGAGATCAGTGAATTAGCCAAAGACCTGTATTCATTTATAAAATGTGTCTGCACACTAGTTTTGCCTTTTTAATGAACTGAAGCTGGGATCAGAGTGTCAGTGGACACTAATCAGTGTTAAAGAGCTCTTTGTTTACCTTCAGGGACATGAGCTGGAGGCTTAAGATGATCCGCGACTCAATCAGCTCCACAAAGAGCAGAAAGTGAATTATTATGCAAAGCAGACTTCAGCTTGACCTTCATCCTCTGCTGTCAGGCGGACCCCTTCGGCTCGACTGGACTGATTTTAGACACTCAGTTCCTGAAAAACACACCTTATAAACCTCTTTATTAACATTATATTCTTTTACACTTTTATTTTTTTTTAATGCTTAAACGTCACTTACAATCAACTGTTCTCCCCTTTTTACTTTTGCATGCTGAAACACGCCCCATTTTTTTCCCCCTAGAGGCATCTGGGACTGTTTTAGTAACAGTCCGGCCCTGCTTTCACTCTTCCATTTCCTGCTTCCTCATCTGAACAAACCTCACGCTCTGCATACGTTACTTTATCTGATTCCATATGAACGACGCATTTCTAGGCATCGCTGAGCCGACAGCAGTCAGAGCTTCATTGAAATAAGTGGGGCAGCCGACAGACAGTGAGTACAGATGAACTTACAGAAGCACTGAATTGAAACTCCGGCTTCCTTGTCAGCGGCACGTCAAATTTAATCCCTCATTCATAACAAGTTCATACTTTGTACACTTATTTTCCACACAAATGTGTCACTTCAGCTCGTTGACTCAATTTAACACAAAACTATCAAGTTAACTTGTTCAGTGATCCAATAGCAGCTTTGTGTGCAATTATATATGTCAAAAGCCAAGCTGAGAAAAAACATATTCTGAAGATTTATTGCCACTTGCGTAACTTAATTCCTTGCATACACTAACACAAAAAAAGCCGTCACATAAGTAAAAGTGCCTGCTATGTGAAGATTCATAATTTTACAGGTACCTCTGCTCTCAGAGCTGCTTGCATGATTCAACCTTAATTTTGACATTTTGGAGAGCGTCAGTCAAAGGAAACCCGTTTTAAACCATATAGTTTTCAGAGTCCACAGTTATTGGTTGCTTTGTGAGATTAGTGTAATGTTTAGGAACTGTGGATCCTAGGGACAGCCTCTGCACTCCTGTCCCATTAGTCTGTGGTACAGTGTCATACCTTTTTAGATTGATTAAAAAGAAGAAGAAAAAAATTATAACAACGATCTGGAAAGGAAGTTTGTGAACAGAAGTTAACAACAGCGTTGGCCAAAAGAAGGAAACTTAAACAAAAATGCCGCACATCGTGCAGCGAGCATATGTAGTTGCACATACTGCTGAAAGTGCTTTAAAGCATGAATTCTTGAATTCTTCAGCTGTTTAAGATTGTTTCAGTATCAAAGTGAAGCCACTGATAAACCAGTCCATCTACCTGTGCAGAGCTGAAATAACAGCTAGAGTTAAACTGGCAAACTTCTCTTTCAAAAAGTCAACAAGAGATATCTACGGATGTGCAGCACAGATCAAGTCTCATTCATTAAAAACACGCTATTCAGTGGGAAGTATTTTACTCTGAACATCTCTACTAATCATAGATGAATAATCATAATGTCGTCAATATTATTGTTAATGTATATTAGATATATTAATTTTTATATTAAAATAAATATATAAAAAGTTAGATTCCAGTTTGTTTATATAAATGGGGAGTTCTACTCACACACTAGTGTTAGTTATGGGGTTCCACAGGGTTCTGTGTTGGGACCAGTTGTATTTATAATATTCGTGCTTCCCTTATGCTATGCCCTATTAGAAGGCACAGCATGCAAAGCAGTCCATATACACAGGACTGTGCAATAGTTTCAGGCAGGTGAGAAAAACATGCTGTAAACAAAGGGTGCTTTCAAAAATGGAAGTGTTAATCATGTATTTTCATCGATCAACAAAATGCAGTGAATGGATAAAAGAGAAATGTAAAACAAACTCGATGATGTTGAGATGTTAAGATGTTGTCTGTGGGGGCCAAACCATCACTTCCAGTACTCCTTGTTCTTCTTTACACTGACGATAGTTCTTAATGACTTTGGCTGTGTGTGTTTGGGGTCGTTGTCCTGCTGCAGAATACATTTGGGGCCAATAAACAATCATTTATATTTCTGAAAGCTTTCTTTGTTTACAGCATTTCTTCACACCTGCCTAAACATGGACTTTCTACCAAGAAAAAGTTTGTCTTCATTTTATTTCTACTATCAATTACCAGTGTTATGACATCAGCGTTTCAGCCACATCTGCTGGGTGTTTATGTTTAAAAATTGCTTATAGATTTGGTTTTAGACGGTGCTGAACAATGACATGTACAGTTTTCTTCTTTTAATTTAAATCTACGTTTGCTAACAATATTTAGAAATTCTTTAGAGAATCTTGGCAGTGCTCAGCTGTGGCAAACACCTAACAGTGGCATCAGAATTCAAAATCCCCTATGACGAGTTCCCCAGTCTAGGCCAAAAAGTTTAGATTCCCCAAAAGATCAAGTTGAAGCATTTTTTCTGCACAGAACTTTTTAGATGATGATAGTTTATCTCATAAGTTTCAGATCCTTTTTGTTTCTGACTTGCAGGAAGAAAAAAAATATTAACCTCGGCCTTTTCAAAGACAAGCCTCGATTCACGCATCTTCTACAACTTCTAAAGACCTGAACTCTCGACTTTGCTCACCAAGGTTTCTTCAGGTGTTTTTTGGGGGGCGGCAGCAGAAACGTAAAAATGTGGAGCACATTGAGATTCAACACTTCGGCTGACATCAGTAAAAATCTCAGAACAAGTCTGGAGACTTTTGTGAGGCTCTATGGCCAACGCAAAGATGATCTTCAGCAAGCTTCTGAGCATTTCATGCATGCAGCAGCTCTAGTTGATAAAAAGCATGAGGATGACAAGATGGCCCAGGCTCTGTTAGGTGTGTTTGGAGGGGCTATTGGTATAGTCTTTGGGGGTGTTACTGGTGGTGTATGGGCTGCTTTGGGAGCAGTTAGTGCAGCAACTTATGCCAAGTTTTGTGGCAACGTTAGTGCAGCAAGTGCAACTGTGGGCTTTGTAGGCGGTGTCTTTGGGGGAGTGGTGGGAGGAGCATTTTCGGGGTTTATTGGTGGATCAGTTGGTGTTGCAGCTCTAGCAGTGGGTATAGAAGCTCATGGGATCGTGAGTGATTCATTATGGTTTACTGTTGGCTTCGCCACTGGTGGTGCAACTGGTAGCACATTTGGCGGGTCAATTGGTGCAGCAGGTGGTGCTGTTGGTGGTGGTTTTGGTGCTTTGCATGCTACAAAAGCTGCAGTTTATCTGGTCAGAAAAGCCATCGATTTTCCTTCTAAAACAAAAGTTCGAAAAGGAAATGGAAAGCTAACGAAAGAAGTAGTCACCATGCAGAAAACTGGAGCAGATTTCATTAAAAGCATCGAACCGCTGGTGGACGAGCTAAAAACGGTGCAAGAGATTTGTGACCAAATGGCCTCCTGTGATGCTGTGAAAGGCGTCGCTAATCAGACTGCAAAGACTCTGGCTGCAGTGAACGCAATGGAGAAAACGATGAACCACAGTCAGATGGAGGCAGATGAGTCAGAGTTTCTCCGCTGTGTTAAAGAAGCATCGAGCCAATGCAAGATAATCCCTGTGGAGCTGCAGATGATGAGAGAGGAAGTGGAGAAACTTCTGGTTTCACTGTAGAAACACTGTTGCTGTCGGTGAAACAGGAGCTGTTCTGTTGTCTTGATGGTTTCATCTGTTTTACGTAGCTGTTCATTTGTTATTTGTTTAGTTTCTGTTTTTAACTGCTCATTTTGTAGTTCTTATACGCTCTTCATACAGAATCAGCTGTGTTAATATATGTTGGCTGTCTCATCTTTATACAAAATACTGTTATACTAAATTCTAAATTCAGAATCTGCACGTTACACTGGCAAAAACATAAAAAAAAACCTCTAACAAAAAGCTTAAAGTGGAATGACAGAATGACAAAGTTAAAAGAAATTAAAAATAATTACAAAAATAAATTATCTGGATCTAAAGCAGTTATACAGTAAAGTGAATATTTAACATATTTAACATACAATTAAATAAAAAAGATTTATATATATCTATCTATCTATATATATCTATATATCTATATATATAGAGATATGGAGATATAGAGATATAGATATCTAGATAGATATCTAGATAGATATCTAGATAGATACAGATATCTAGATAGATACAGATATAAACAAAGATGCTAAGATTTCGCAGCGCCCCGCAGCCAAATCTTAATCTCCTGGCAGTCGTGTTGAAAGAGAAGTTTTTTGTTTTTACATTATAGCAGCAGTCAAACAGGATCTATAATACATGGGTAAACCTGTTTGTTTTTAGAACATGTAAGGATTTGTTAAGTTTGTTTAAGTGTATGAAGCTGTGTTTCAACTGGATTAAAAATGTCACTGGGGAGCTGCATTGATTTTATTTTTCTGTCTAGGATTTGACTGTAATGGTTGTAAATTTCCTCAATCCTGTTTCCACTTCAGCTTTATAAACTGAGCCACTGTGACCATAGTGCCACTGCCACTGAAACATTTTTATAGCCACATTAACCAATTCTTTCCCTATAAACTTTAACCACTTTAGAATCACCACCCTCCATGATCTCAATTCTTTAACTTCTTCATTTCTATTCAGTGCATGGGGATCTGCCAGGCCCAGGAGCCATCGCCAGTCCCCTTCGAGGCCTTCACCGAACCGCAGCTCAATTAATGTCAAAGCATTCACCTTTACTTACTAAAATGCTGTCAAACCTAAAATGAGGATGTGGGCCCAGCTAGTAAATACCTATTTGTCACACTAAGGGTTTTCTGAATAATAGGCTGTGGGTTCAAATTCTGACCAGAGCATGTAACCAGTAAAGGTTTGTAAGTAGAGGTCTCCAGGCTAGGCCCCTGCCTAAAGCCTACCTATGAGTGAGAGATATAGAACTGAAGCTATGCGGGGATGGGCATCCAGGTACGCACTGGCTCACTCCTGGTGGGTGCTTGTCGGGACCTGGAACCTGGGGCTCGCTTGGGCCCCTTCGGGGGTGGGGTGCCCTCGACCTCTCAGCCTGGGGCTCGGTCACTCTGGCACAGATGGCTGCTGGCGGTGCTCACGGGCACTAGGTAGAAGTGAAGATGTAAATGCAGCATCACAGAAAATCCTTATGATCACTGAAACCGACCAGCTTATCGATTTCACAACAACAGTTATCTTTGGCTACAAAACGAACAGATGCAAGGAGCAGTACCAAGTTGAAGCAACAACTGTGAAATGTGCACAACCTCAGATTTCTTAGATTCATCAACACAGGCTGGGAACCACATCTCACATGGACACAAAATAACCATCACAGCACTTCTGAAAGAATTAGTCCATTGTACAGTTGCCATGGTTCTGGATCAGTTGACCCAGCATTTTGAGTTTACTGTGTTTTTGTGATTTATTTGTGTTGTAATGTTTCAGTTTTCTATTGTCGTTTTTATCCCTACAAAACTAACTTTATTTCTCATGGCACTGATCCAAAATTCCCCAGAAACATTCTTGAGTTATTCAGCTTCAAGCTATAAACAAATATTGGAAATTTGCAGGTTGCTCATCCAGCACATTCCAACAATGCCGTAGTAGATTGAGATCTGACGATTGTAAATGCCTTTGAGCACAATGAACTCATAGTCATGAAACCAGTTTTAGATGAAGTGAGCTTTGTGATAACTCATGTTATCCTGCTGGAAGTAGTCACCAGTATATGTGTACACTGAGTTATTAGGTAGGGGTGGACTAAGTGCTTGTACAGTAGTTGAAGAAGAGTGTCAGTATTTTTTTAAAAAAAAGGAAGGTTGGACACTGGCCTATAATTACTTAACACAGCTGGGTGAGGAGATGGCTTTTTAAGTAATGGTTTAATTACTGCCACCTTGCCATTAATAGCAAAAGTTTGGTTGTATTTTAGATCAAAGCAATAACTAATGAAAGGATTTCCTTAAGCACTCTGTGGTCTAATAAACAGATGGTTTAGAGGAAGGACCTGTTGAAGTTAACTTAAGGAGTTGCTGTACATAATAATATATAACATACAGCAACATCTGAGACAGATGTGAATAACCTTTTTCTCTAACCATTTTATTTTAATCATTGGTTGTGCTGAAAAGAAACCTGATGAATATTAAGATAACCCAGCTTTACAGAGTCCTATAATGTAGAGCAACAGGCACTTTGAAGCTCTTTAAAGGCTTAATGAAGCCCTTCAAAATTAGTAAGATCCTATTTCCTCACCAACCTATGAATCATGTGTTTTAAGGTGTGTTTTTGTGAGTTATACCAGGCACAGCACAGCAGCCACAGTATCCAGGGTCAAACCGATTGAAGAGATGACACTTGTCAACCCAATCACAACAAAGTGTGTAATTTGATGGGATGTTACACTTTGCCTCTCCATTGGGTGAAATGAACACACATTGATATATTTTTATATTATATATATTTAAAGTTAAGAACTCGTTAGTGACCAAGGAAGGTATGAAGTCTCTAATTCAGGCTCCTTGTACCCCAGTGTTAGTAATGACTCTAAACATTTTTAAACATGATGATTTTCACATTTGCTTGAAATAAAATATCTCCCTCTGCTGGTACAGCAGCTTAGGACAACTTGCAACTCCAGCATGTGTGTCCATTTATTGTCAACCTCTGAGGGAGTAGAGTCGAGGTAGTTGTGCTGTACTGTACAAGCTCATGGCGTTGAAGATGAAGAAATATATCCTTAAACTTGGAGCACTTTTAGAAAGACATCTACTGTAATGAAATGTATTGAATGTATGAAATGTAAGCATACAAAAGTTTGAGTTTTAGGATAGACACAAATAAAACAGACAAAAACCCCAGAACAGTATAAAATGTTTTATTTGTTGAAATGCAGAAGCAAAGTAGAAGCTTGCTGTTTTTGTACTTACACAGTAATAAAAATAAATTAAATATATTATAAATCTTTCCCATAATTTTTGAGACCTACTGCAGACACGGAAAGAGTGATGGGACGCTGCGATTAAAATTCTGTTTAAACTAAAACTAATAAAAAAATATCAAAATGATCCACGAGTCTATCAGCTTTTTGCCTTTGAAGATGAATTTTCTGGTGAGGCTCTGATGTCTTAGCGGCAGTAATGAAGCGCTCGTGTTACCTCTCAGCTGAGTGGCTCGTTCTTCCATGTAATTGTCTTGATTACCTCGGATGGCATCCAGTGTCATTAGCGCTGAGTACAGCTAATAATTCGCCCTCTTTAACATTTAATCACTCAAATCACAGAACATTTCTACAGTCAGTTTGAAGTTTATCCAGAGAGGCGCCCTAATGCAGCAGAAATGTGCGTGTGTGTGCGTGTGTGTGTGTGTGTGTGCATTAGCTTATGTTTTTGTCTCTTTAGGGATCTTCGTGCATGCATTTCCACCCCTGCATTCGTCCACATGCTTGAGAGTGATAAGACTGTCACCATAGTGAGTCAAATGCGTTGTGCTTGTAAAGCCACGATGATGAACCCAGTCCACGTTGTTGTGTTTCAGAGGGAGATGTCTGAGGATACCTGCAGCTGTTGCCCTGGTTTCCACTTGGCGCTGCGTCGGCCGACGTCCCCCCGTCTGTACGGCTGATTTCTCAAATCTGACGAAAGAGAACAAACACGAATAATCCACGTGAGACAAGAAGCTTCAGAACAGCCCGCTGACATATGTCAAAGGCAAACTAAGGGCCTGTTGGGCTTTATTTACTGAGCCATAAAATACATATTTCTACTCATCAAATTGGCCATAAAAAAACAACAACACAAAAACAAACAGGAAAATGCGAAGACGTCTGGTATGAAAGAGTCACTGCCAAGCCATCCTGGCTCTTATAAAATCTTAATTAGAATCTGTGTCAGACATGGATAGAGTGTGGGACAATGAGCCCCTCAGCATAAGCTTTTAAAAGACCCACAGAAGGCACCAGCGTGTTCTTTTGCATTTCACTTTTTGTCTCTCAGTTGTTTTTCATGTCTTTGTGGTATTTTGCACATCTTTGTGGGTGTGTGAGGCTGCTTTGTGGTAATCTTTGTTGTGTTTTGCTGCTTTAAAAAAAAAAACACCTTTTAAACCTTTGTGTCTTTCTCACCTTCGTCTCTTCACAGGTGTGATGTGATGTACGATCAATCTTAAAAGGAATCTATTACGCTGATTTCCAACTTCGTGTTTTTGTTGTTGGACGTTACAGGAGTAACTTTACAGCATTCACAGCTCAAAATAATCATTGTAGAGAATTATATGAATGTACTGTGATCAGCTCATCTAAAGATATACTTCAGCCCCTCCATCATTTAAGCTTTCTCTTTTCTGATTGGCTACACAGAATGTTTTTGTGGGTACTACATAGAAAAAACTGTAATTGTAATTTAAGTGTTCAGAGCAGGCTGTGCTTGAGATGACTGATACATACACTGACCAACATGAACCTTCCAACACTTTTTAAACGACTGGTAGAAGTATACTTTTGGACAGCATAGCGTAGTACAGAGATGTCGTACGTCCTGCACCACAGATTGAAATAAAAAGGGAAGAGCTTTGACAGTTTTTGGGTGAGTAAATTAGTTTAAAAATCACTGTTATCAGTCTAAGAATTAGCGTATATCTCCATTACCGTTGTTTGTTCAATTTAAATTCAGCCTCTAAGTCATTAAATGATGTTATTTAACAAGCCTGTGAAATTCTTGAGATAAAGTCTTTTGTGCTGCGGGCCTGCATCAGCAGGATTAACTACAACTCAACAAACTCCACACAGCTGGACGTTGTGTGGCTCTGAAACCAGGACCCATTAACAAATGAGGCAACAGTGCTAAATGTCCTTTACTTTAGTTCCCTTTAATATATCTTTATTATCCAAGCACTCTAAGAGTACTTTTATGACTGGAAACAAGGAAAACATAATAGATCTCCTTTAACCTTCAAATCCAAGACAAGCATATTCTACAGCATATTCTTGTGTTTTAGTTTGAGCTGCTCTCCTTCTCTTTGAAAGCCATTTAAAGTGTGTCAGAAAACCTCTGGAGAGAACTCAGTCACGAGGCATAAATCCAATAAACAGCACCCAAAATATTCCTTCAAGGGCAGACTGTCTGGGATACAGTTACATTGGGAAGGCAGAGCAGGACAATTTCTATGCAGTTTTAGTGCCATATAATGTGTTTCTAATATTTTGTGTTTATTGTTGTTATTCACTGTTGAGTTTGTCTCATGTCCATGACTGGAGCAGAAATAGAAGCTGGGCTCAAAGGATTATAAGTGACCTCTACACTCTGTATCCACCATCTCTTCCTGGTTATAAATACAATGACAGTGTCATGATCAGCAGGAGCGGATTTGAAAACATCACCTCTTCACTGAAGACAGAGTCGCAGAAGAGACGAGAGGAGCGTTTGGCAGAGCGAGCCGTGAAGGGCACGGATTTAAGAGCTGAAGACAGAAGAGAAAAAAAAACAACAGGGACAGGAAGAGAGGAGGGACAAACAAGGGCACAGGAGAGGGATGTAAGCCTTAGTGAAAGTTTGTTGAACTAAGGAAATTTAAAAAAAGAGCACTGCTGGAGAGGAAATAGGATAAAATGTTAATGAGATTAACAGCTGCTTAGATAAGAAAGTAAAAACACTGAGGACGATTAGTGTGAAAAAAGTGTGTGACAGCAGAAGGTACAGAAAAATAAAAATGAATGGACTAGAGCGTCCATCAAAACTAGAGCTGGAAATCAGGAGATAGTTAGCTTAGCTTAGTCAGCGCTCAGTGACGAGTTCTTGCTGTTGGGAAAAATCTGTACTCTCCAATCAGTTGGGGAGTGGTTGCTGGAACACAACATAAACAAGTGCAGAGAAACAGTTTGTGGCTTATGTTGATTTAGCTGCTGCCTTTCAAAGTTTGTAGACAAAACAAACAAAAAACAAAACAAATTAAAAAATCTAGTTCTAATCTATGAAAAAGTGATCAGTTTAGTTGTTAGCTAGTTAATTAGCAAGCATTAGTGTGTAAGTGTTGCTATGTTAGCAGCTAAACTTCACTTGATACAATGTTTGAACTTTAATTACGTAGCTGTCACTGTGTAGCTTTAGCACCACACGAACCTGTAACTGCATAGCTGCATCTTTCTGTTGCCTTGGCAGCGTGAGCTCTGTGTAACTAACCCCTCCTGATAATTGCTGATAACGGTTCACAACACATATACAAAAAACAGACAGTTTGTTGTGTACCTGTGATAATGTCCTCGATGGCTCCGTCTTTCCCCTCCCTCACCAAAGGAGACATCTGCCTCTTCTTCAGCTCTGCTATCAGGTCCATCTGGGGCGGTCTGGGCATCATGGGACCCTGAAACAACAAATCAGATTTAGTTGAATGCAACTTTTTACAACATGCTTTGAGAGTTTTAGTTCTTTTTATGTCCAATAGTCTGGTCGTTTTTATGCATGAAAGTTATAATCTCAAGGAATGTCCTTAAAGTGTGGAAGTCTGATAGGTGAAGAAGTACAAGCGGTCAGCAACACAGAACTGATCAAATGTTTCAATTCGAAAATTAAAACTAACTAAAACAAAAAGAATTGACCATTTTAAGAAAGAAAAATATTGTCTTATTTTGAATTTGATGGCAGCGCGGACCATGTTTACCACTTTCGTTAATAACAGTTCATATATGACTGGGAACTGAAGAGAGCTGTTTGGACATCGAACAGGGCAGTCCAGCTCCAGGCTTGTTCCAGATCCAATACCTTATATTATTATATTTTATGGTAGTTTATCTGTCTTTGTACTTGACATGGCTGACTGGAGCATCACACTAGTTTTTGTTGATACTTTGACCTTTTAATGTCGTGGGTCTTTGTACACATTTCTCTAAAAGCAAAGCAGTTTTCCTCTAAACTGAGATCATTAATGTCTCTACCAGAGGAAAAGGGCTTTCAGAAAAGAGTATTTCTCTCTGTCCTTCACTGAGAAGAAGTACTTTTTGAAGGGTGGTGTTTCCCTTGCTGAATATCACTTTAAAAAAAATCAAAAAAGAAAGGGCCGACAGATAAAGTCTGAGGTCTACTGTCAGCTTTTAAAGTGTTGTTGCAAAATGACACAGTCTAATTATTCAGGAGAAAATCATCTTTATGTGCTTGGAAAGTTTGTAGACACACTTGAAAGTACTTTTCCTGCACTGACTGTTTATTGTTCCCACCTTGTTCCCCATGACTTCAGGTTTAGGAGGAGTTAAAGGAGCCTCGTGTTGCTTGTTTCTCTGCTCGATGTCCAGCTCTGCTTGCTGGCAAACACAAAACCAATGTTTCAGAGGTCAGATTATAAACAGTCACTGATGGCTGCAGGTGTAATGTAAAAGCTCTTGGTGCATATCAGTGAAGCAGCTGTCTGTTATCTGACCTTGTACGCTTTGATGAATCTGACAAAAATAGGGAAGAACATAGAGGGCGGCGTTGTTTTGGGGTTTTCTCCGAAGTACTCCACAGCTGAGTCATAAGCATCCTGCAAAAGAAGGTCACGATCAGCCATGAACTGACAAGTACTTCCTGTTCCTAACATTGACAGAGACAAATTTGGATAATTTCCTCAGGGATTAATAAAGTATTCTGATTTTGATAATTAAATCCGACCTGTGCGGTCTTTCCATCGGCTATGAGACCATTGAGCAGCTCCACGTTGGTGTTGAGAAAACGCTGCAGCACTAGATTGTCTTTTTCTATGGAGAACTCCCTCTTCGTCCCCTCCATGCCTCTCTCCAGAGCCTGAAGGTCCTGCAGGATACTGTCCACAGAAACTAAAAGAGACAAAGACTTCAAGGTGAAGTTAGAGCTTCAAATTAACATTCTTATCATTGCTTATCAAACATCAACTAGATTATGATGTACTTTAGAAGACTGAAGGGTTATGCAAGGTGTTGCATGAATAAAGTGATTCTACTGCTGTCATAACACCTTGTGAGCATTTGTCATTTTATCATCAGTGTATTTACAATCTGTGGTATTAGTTTAAACTAAAATGTATGTGATTAAAGTTTGACCACATTTAACGGTAATAATAAAAGTTTCAAAAGTATAACCAATAACTCTGGCTTTGTGTAGGTTTTATCCTCTTGGTCATCTCAGACATACCAGTCAGCATCTCCATAGAAACTTCTAGGTGTTCTCCAATTGTTGGTGAGCGGTTGCAGTAGTTTCATGTCAGTTACAAGGTGAAAACATGGTGCTACACTGAAAACGCCCCATGACTGCTTTGGTTTCTAGCAGGTTGCCTTAATCAAGTGTAGTTTACAAGGGAGATTCAGGCTACATCCACATGTACACGGATATTTTGGTAAACACAGATTTTTCTGTGAATTTTGTCCTTTTGTCCTGAGGGTCACTAAAAATAAAGCTTTTCATTTACAGAAACTCTGCTGCATTTAAACGTGGAAAAGAGAAACAGCGATTTTTGTCTCGTAAGATCAAAGTTATGTGCCTTCACCTCCCTTTTGACTACACTCTGTCTTTTTATTTGCCAGCATTTCTTCACACTTAGGATTATATCACCACCTGTTTCTTTGGCATGCACTTGACAGACTTTGAGATCTTTTTGGGGGGCTTTTCATGTTCATGGAGATATTTAAATTTTTTTTTAAAACCATTTTTAAAAAATGACCTCAGGCCTACACTCACAGCATCTTGGACACACGATTAAAAAAAGGGGGGGGTCAGGAAGTCAGAAGTTAAAAAGGCAACACAGGTCAAAACATCCAATTACTACAGGGCTACAAACCACAAATACAGTTAATAAAAACAAGATTTTAGGCCAAATGTTGATCAGATCAAATGCTAGTTTTTCTTTTTGATTTTTTTTTTCTTTTATAGCAGCAACTCTTGAGCTACTGTCAGGAATCATACTGTGCTGTGCTTTATTTCTTTATTTATTTGCAGCTTTGTTTCATAGTTTAGAGTTTAATCTATAATTACTTAATTTGGGAGGGAAGTAGTGGATCTGCTTGGATCTTGGACCTTTGTAAACTGTGACAGGAGTTCAGCCATCATTAATCACTGTACACATGTGAGGATGTGCTTACCAAGTGCCGCCTTATCCAGGAAGTGCAGCTCTGTGGGGAAGGATTGCAGCTCTGGGTATCTCTCCTGGATGATGTTGACGATGAAGTGCATCAGTGTCTGTTTTCGGTCTGTAGATTTGGTGTCCAACAGCTTGGGAGAGCCAGCAAAGAATGAAAAGTCTGACATTAGATCGATAAAAACAACAGGTTGCACAAAATATTTTTGAATTATCTACAGAAATAGCAACCGAAGCAAAAAGCCATCTGTAGCTGCAGGAAAAAACTGCATTAATTTTCTCACCAAGTCTAAGCTTTGCAGACGGAAGCCATATGCTGCTCCTCGCTTGCTGCTGTTCATGTAGTTTCCAAATGCCAAGATGATCTTTACATCAGCAACAGACAGAAAAGTATGTTGTCAGATGTGACACAAAGTGACAGCATGTGTGATATGCAGCCCACACAGACTCAAAAATAAACCTGCAGTGAAAAACAAAACTTGAAATCTGTCACAGAGGTAAAACACAAAACCTCTCCCTTTCCAGAAACAACTCATCATTGTTTTTATGCCACTTTAAATTTAGGAGAAAAAACAACAACCAAAGTTGAAGGAAAAAAATTCCTCCGGGTTAAAGACACAGCATGTTTGGTCTCATATTACACCAGCTGTGCTCTTGCAAGCTTTGGAGGCTATTTTCCCAGAACTGCTGAACTGGACCTGAAATTATTTCCATCAAAGCCTGAAACTCTGGCACAGAATAATGTGAATGGGTGAATGAGGCTCATAGCAGAAAGCAGAGTATAAGTACCAGTCTGTGAGACAAATTACAAGGCTCTGTTTTTCTAGTGTTCCAGGTTTCTACCATTAACTATTATCAGTGTTTGTGTATTGCATGTATACAGTGCACTGATACAGCTCACTAACCCAGTGCTGTCCAAACCCAGGCCTCGAGGGCTGGTGTCCTGCAGGTTTTGTGCGTCCTTGATCCAACACAGCTGATTTAAATGGCTAAATGACCTCCTCAACATGTCTTGAAGTTCTCCAGAGGCCTGGTAATCATTTGATTCAGGTGTGTTGACCCAGTGTCCTCGAGGCCTACAGTTGGCCAAGCCTGCACCTACCTAAACTAGTGTTACTTGACATCTTACCACTGTTACTTCATCTAAATATGGTCACCTCTGGGAACAAAAAAACACCACAAAATGCTAACGTTGAGGCTCCATTACAAACGGATGGTCCATCGTTTATTTACAGCTTATGTGAGATCTTGGCTGAATGTGTTTCTGTTGTTTTGCTGAGAGCCCCCCCATCAACCAGTATTTTAAAATGAAATTAGAAGAACAATAAACAAATTAAAAATGTTATAAGCCAGGATTTGACTGTAATTTTTAATGCTAATTAGGAGGTCAGTGACTTTGATTCCATTTTGCCGTTGCTGAGGATTCACAGGAAGTCACAGAGAAGCAGTCCTAACCAGTAAAGGTTATTATTTAGTCATGAACTGGAGCTCTTTGACACTTAATGTAAAAGTAAGAATCACCTCGAGAATTTTCTTCAGCTTAGTGGAAGACTTGATGGACATCGAGGCCGCGATGATGGCATTCAGTTGCTGTAAGAAATAATGCAAAGATCAGTGCGTGCACATTACAGTATACACTAACATTTTTATTTTAAAGGACTAGTTCTACTTTTTTGTAATTCTCGCAGAGTCAGAGGACAAGAGTGATTCCACTGTAAATATAAAGCCAGAGTGCTGATAAGGAGAAATTTCCCCGTGTTAAACCTCAGTACCTGAATAAATGCCTTTTATTCCTAGAAGTGGGCTTTTATTCAGCCCACTTCTAGGAATAAACTCTAAGAGAATAACTGCCTTTTCCTCAGCATGACTGTGAAATCCCCTGTTGTAAACTTTGCTTAATTCTCTTTCCTCAAATACAGTTCAACCGTGGACTCACAGGCTGTATCAGCTGGACGCTCTCAGGGAAATTGCCCATGAAGGTGAGAGTGCTGATGCGCTGGGAAAGCCGCGGGATCTTGCTAAAGCGCACCATGAAGCGGTCCTCCTCGCTGAGCTCGTCCAGGGGCCTGCCCTCGCACTCGTAGTTGTGGATGAGCTTCATTTCATACTCTGTGGGGATGAAACGCTCCAACAGCTCGAGGAAGTCCAGGCTCAGAGCTTTCAGGTTGTACCTGCGGGGACGGTGCACGTTCTGAATATAAAGTGTCTTTGCAATATATTCAGATTTTCTTTTTATTGCCGTATTATTCAGCTGATGCACAAACAGGGTTTAACACATACGTCTCAATGACACAGCAGATATCAGAAGCAGCCATTCCTTCTTTACGCAGGGTGATGGCCAGGTTTTTGGCCCTGTTGGGCTCCATTAGAGACACTTTACTGGGACTCTTGTGGGCCATTTTCTTCTTTAGGGTTCCCAGATCTACAGGGGTCGACTGGGCTTTGGTCTTAAACTGCTCCTCAAAGGCAGCCATGTTTAGCTCCTAATAACAGGGTTCAAATACAGAAACAGAGACCATTAAGATTTTTTAATACTCAGATTAAACTTTCACTTTTGTTTACTGTAAGTCACGTAGCAGCCTATTACAGACTAAACTACTTCCTGATAAAGCATGTGACTGCTGGAAAAATTCCTGGAAAATTTGTTCTAAAGATTATTGTAAATTTCGTTTTGTTCTTTTTAAAATACTCACAAAGGTTTGCAAATGGAGAAAAGCATGGAAGAATATCCATGGATTTAAGTGATGTAGAATAAATGCAAGTTCCCATGATAATACATTACTGCTATTCCAATGTAACACAAAAACACAGTACTGTCTTAATAGGATTGATTGCACTAATATAGGCAAGGCAAGGCAAGGCAAGTTTATTTGTATAGCACAATTCAACAACAAAGTGATTCAAAGTGCTTTACAGAGACATTAGAAACAAGAACAAATAAAAAGCATGATTTAAAATTGAATAAAACAAGCAAATAAACTAACTAACTAATTAACAAACAAACAAACAACAGTATATAAAATCAAAACAGATAAAATCAAAACAGATAAAATCAGAACAGTAGATAAAATCAGTAGTTAAATGTAAGTTTTGAAATTTAGGCTTAAAGTGTGGATTTGGTGCTTTATTCAAATGCAGCTGAGAACAGGTGAGTCTTCAACCTGGATTTAAATAAACTGAGTGTTTCAGCTGATCTGAGGCTTTCTGGGAGTTTGTTCCAGATATAAGGAGCATAAAAGCTGAATGCAGCTTCTCCGTGTCTGGTTCTGACTCTGGGAACTGATAAAAGACCGGATCCAGATGACCTGAGGGATCTGGATGGTTCATACTGGGTCAGGAGGTCACTGATGTATTTTGGTCCTAAACCATTCAGAGCTTTATAGACCAGCATCAGAACTTTAAAGTCTATCCTCTGACGGACAGGCAGCCAGTGTAAAGACCTCAGAGCTGGACTGATGTGGTCCACTTTTTTGGTCTTAGTGAGGACTCGAGCAGCAGAGTTCTGAATGAGCTGTAGTTGTCTGACTGATTTTTTAGGTAGACCTGTAAAGATGCTGTTACAGTAATCAAGCCTACTAAAGATGAATGCATGGACTAGTTTTTCCAGGTCCTGTTGAGACATCAGATCTTTTATCCTTGAAATATTCTTGAGGTGATAGTAAGCTGACTTTGTTATTGTCTTAATGTGTTTTTCTAAGTTTAGGTCTGCATCCATCACTACACCCAAATTTCTCGCCTGGTTTGTGGTTTTAGATGTATAGATTGAAGTTCTCTGGTGACCTGTAATCGTTTTCTTTGGCGCCAAAGACTATTACCTCAGTTTTGTTTTGTTTAGTTGGAGAAAATTGTGGCACAACCAGTCATTAATTCCTCAATGCATTTACCAAGAGCCTGTACAGGCCTCGGTCTCCTGGTGACATTGTGATATATATTTGTGTGTCATCTGCATAGCTGTAATAGTTTATTTTGTTGTTGTTTATAATAGAAGAAAAGAAATGCATAGATTGCATGTTGTTGTTTTCTGCTAAACGATTTGCACCACAATTGGATTAAAACCCAACCTGCAACCTCCACGTCTGAAAATGAAGCCAGTGCAGAAATACCAAAACTACTGTAGTTCCACTTATGGCCACTGGAGGCTGACTCCAAACCAGTGCTCATCCCCATAACTCTCATGTAAAAAATGTCCAACACGTTGCAAAGTGTGTTGACAGCCTGGCACAAAACACTGTTTGGGTCCCTACGGGTAGTTTCCACCATCAACTGTTCAGGAGGTGAGGGTTTATTTGTTTGTTTGTTTGCTTGTTTTTTTTAAATAATTCATCTGCCCAGTGTTTGCGATGCCTTTTGTTGGATCTTTAATAAAATTATCTGACAAAATGACTTTCCAAGAACTTTGTCTTCCAACTTAGTGACTTTTCAAGCATAATTAGTCTGTTACTTACTAATTAGCTAATTGTCTGTGTGCTGCTTTTCCTAACCAGACTAGCTAGACTTAGCTGAAAACTTAGCACAGTACCCTCTGACTCCAAAATGCAGCAACAAAAACCAGCAGGTGTGATCATGTTGGCTGCGTGCATCTTGTAAGTACTGTCCATGAAGGAACCCAGGTCCAGATGTTTTTGGGACAGCAGAGGAAACATGAACAAACCTCTAAGATGCACTCGTCGTCCACCTCACTGAAGATTGTTCCTGCGACCTGGTTGGATTTGAGGGCCTGCCAGTTGAACAGCGGCATGCGGTATTTGGTTTGAATGGCCTTCTTCTTTTTACAGTCTGTAAGAGAAATGTTCGTATTGTAACAGAGATCTTCCTAAATATTGCGTTGGGGAATCTGCCGTTTGTTACTTTCACAAGAAAAGACACTGAAATCATTACTAAAAGTTCCCAAAGTGGAGCTGGAAAATGATTACCAAGGCAGGAAGGGGGTAAAACTTTGGTTTCTCCAACATGTCTCCTCTCTGTGGTATTTCTTGATTTTCTATAAAGTTTAACTTTTTTTTAAATCTCTACAATCAGTTCGATAAAAGCTGGAAACTTTTGCTTGTTGTAATCATTCTTCATTTTCAAGTTTGATGTATAAAAAGAAAAAAATCATCTCTTCTTTAAGATATCAAGGACAAGAAAATAAAATATGAACCAAAATTGCTAAACCTGATTGCTTTTAAAGACTTACTAAGACCTTCATTTTGCTCTGATTGTGGACTCACTTGAGGTCCCTGCTGACGCCTCCGTCCTACCGCCTCCAGAAGGCAGGAGAGCTGATGGTGGTGGAGGAGGTGGAGGTGGAGCTGTGGTTGAGGATGGAGCTGGAAGTGGAGGAGGAGGGGGAGGAGGAGCTTGTACCGACTGTGGAGGAACTTCTGTTGTAGGAACGGCCTGAAGGTTGTTTCCTGTATCAACCTGATCTGCAGCTGTCAGGAAATAGTCTACACATCAACTTGCAGTTACAGTGTAGCTGTAATTAAGGAATAAATCTGATTACACGAATCAATATCCCATAATGATGCCCGTCAGGGAAATACAAAGAGCTTCTAATTATCCGCACACCAAGGTCTGAAGTATCATCTCGGACTGGCGATGCACTTTTCGGACTCAATGGCGGTTTCAGATCTTTTGATCTCTTATCTTGAGTTACAAAAACAGAAATTGGAGGTAGGCCTTGTCTGTGTGCAGGTAAGTTACCATGAAGATGTACCACCAGCGCATCACCTTTGTAATGCTGTAAACCCAGAGTTCACCCTGACGTTACCTGGATAGGTGCAGCACAGCTATCTGGTCACTAAAAAAGGGAACTTCTGAATCCAGCTCATAAAACTCAAACTTGAATTGTTCACGCTGTGAGTGTATGTGTGGTTACTGAGGATTTAGGAAGGTGTGATAAAACATTGCCGACCTTTCTGCTTCTTGTTCTGCTGCACCACCTGAACAGCTAGGTGTCCAGAGGAAGAGCGCCCCATTTGGACAAGACCCTGGTCCACCAGAGCCTGAACTTTGACCTCGAGCTCCTTCAGGGCCTGGGTGTCTTGTTCTTTCTCCTGCTTGAGCTCACGTTCTTGCTCTCGCTGCTGCAGCAGAATCACCTGCGAGCGAGACTCCCGCAGACTCTCCTGTGACACAGAGCATAAGTGTCTTTAATCAGGCTGGACCAGTTCTGTCAGCTTAAAAAAAAGAAATATGTGATCTGGTGTGATCGTCTTGGCAAAAGGACATGTGTGCTCACAACACTTTGGCTCATTAATATGCAGATTTATGCAGCTGCAACACTAAACTCTAATCAGATCATCTTCACCAGGTGGGGTACCTGCGGTGAGAGTGCTGCTATGTGCTTTTTCTTAACTAACGTTCACAAGAACAATCAGTCTCTCCCTAATTAAGCCAATTAGTTCCTCTATTTTCAAAGCTGTACTTCAACGCCAACACGTTTGTCTCTGCATGCTACATGTCTGCTACTAATTTGAACTCATCAGCCTGAAGTGAGAAAGAGAATTCAGCATCTCAGGAAGCATTTCTTTCCTCGTTAGCATTCAAATATATGCAGAAAGGTGCTTAAAAATCAAATCACATCTCTTCCATGTGGCGGACATGTGGTGTAGGTGTGAGGTTTCAGTATACTGTAGTTATCATAGTGGGTCACAGCTTTGGGACAGCAAAACAGGGAAAATTAAATTTGAGCCTAATGGAAAAGAACAAACGGCTACAGGTTACTGAGATACTGGCAGAGCTGAGCGATTGATTTTTTCCTCTCTGTAAAACTCAAAAAACAAACAAAAAGACGAAGATCGCTGGCTGAGCTTTTGCCCTTCCTCGTGTTGGAACCACAAACAAAAATATCAAGCAGCAAAAAAACTCTATAAAGCAGAACTGAGTGGTTTTTAAGTCTTTATCAGTAAATGGATTTGAACTGAGCCCTGATCTAAAAAACAGGCTCAAGCAACTCTGAGTTTAACTTTAAACTCTGAGTTATCAGTTCTAGAAAAGCTGATCAGTTATTTCAGACTATTATTAAATTTAGCAAAACTACATTTTTTATTTGACTTTATCTTCCGCACAATTTAAAAACAAAGGAGTTCAAATATTTTCTTTTTGTTAATGTTTGGAGTAAAAACCATAAATGTACTGTACTCTTTAAAAAGTGATTACTTGTGAACTATTTCTCTTCTGGTGTTTAAGAGAAGACACAGATAAAAGCACAGAAACATGAAATGGATTATTATGTCTCTATTTAAGGCCTTTTTTTCTGTTACTAAGCCACATTCGCCCATTTACCTTATTCTAGGAACCTTTATCTGTCAGGTGACACGATGTGGATTCATGTTTGATATGTTGGCTCTGATGTTTCTGCTACCATCTGACTGCTTGGCACAGTCTGTGTTTCTGTATGAAAAACATGTAAGCATGAACTTGCTGTTCTCTACCTTCAGGAGCTCCACTTCTTTGGTGGTCTGAATGAGCTTCTTCTCAAGCTCGGAGGCTTTCTCCATCGCCTCAGTCTCGGTCTCCTGAAGTCTGCTGGTGAGCTGTGACACCAGAGTGGTCATGGGTAATGGGTAAATGTATTTTTACACAGAGAGCAGCAAACATAGAAGAAAACTAACACTAAAGTGGACTTATAATGTATTAGATTTTCTCTCATGTATGTAGCCTACTGCTTGTGTAATTTTGAATTCCTACATGATTAATATCACAGTAATGTTTAAAGTTTTCATTTACCAGACAAAGTCATGAAATTTCACCCAAACATTTTTCTGTATAGATAATCTAAATAGCAACCGCATGTTGCTGCTGGAGAGTTTAACACATAGTATGATTTTTTTCTTCGGTAGCTTAATTTAAAAAAAAAAAAGTATTTTACTAGAGAAGGAAGCTAATGTGAATAAGCTAGGCTAAGGTAGTTAGCTTTAGAGCCATGAGTCTATCAGCTTCCTGTTAACTGCATCATTCAACAGATTCAGCTGCTGCTTCATTTGTGTGATACAATGTGGCAGCCGTGAAATTATTTAATTTCTTAAACACAAAAATGGAGGAAATGTCTCAATTAGACTTAGACTTGGATTAACTAATAAGCTAGCTGCATTTAATAAAAGAAACAATTACAGTTTTGCTTTAAAGCAATAAAGTTGGAAAATATTCAGGTTTATTTCAGCTTGATGTATTTCCTGTCATTCTGTAGTGTTTTTTGAAAGGTGAATAAATATCAGCTCTGACAACGACACTGCATGTAGCAGGTCCATGTGACCATTGCACCTGTGAGCGTGCTCATCCACACTCACAGGTTTATTTGAAAACCTGTCCTGGCCAGACTGATAGAAATCATGCTGATATGATACAGACTGTCTTTAAGGTTAGTTTGTATTTAATGCATTTACATCCAGACCTGCGCGTTGTGTTCCTGCAGTTCCTCCATGTGTTCTAGCAATGCGTTCTTGGTCTCAGCGTCCTCCAGCAAAGCGCCAACATCGAACACGTTGTCCAGGTAGGCCTGAATCTGCACCAGCAGCCTGTCGCTCTCTGTGAACTTTAATTTCTACAAAGAGAAAACACCAGAGTAAAAAATAATCAACTCAGTTTAACTGAAAGCTGTGACTCTGAGTCTAAGATAAGTTTAAAGCTGTTAATTTGGCAAACAAGTTTACACTTGCCTCCAGGTATTCATCCAGGCCATGCTGCGTGAACTCGTACTGGAGGTGGACTCTGAAGTTCATGTTTTCCACTGAGTGGACCACAATGTTGATGAACTGCATACAGGCAACCTGGTGGCAAAAAGAATTCATTTGTGCAACAGGAAGCAGCGTCACCTACTCAGACCAGTGTCCGACACCATCACCAGGACCATCACCAGGACAGGGGCTACAAGTTTAAAAGTTTACCCGTGCGACGTAAAGAAAGTCTGCTTACAGAGAGCAGAACGTCAGTAGAGCTAATGAAAGCGAGGAGGCCAAACTGCTGACACGAGCAGCTGCTGCACAATATTAGACACGAGCTTCAGAACACGACGTGTGAACAAGTACCGCTGACATAAAATGTTTCACACAGGCTCAGTAATGTTCACTTTGGTGGAAGGCATATTTTGTGACCTCAGACCATCTGCTTCTCAGTGAAGTTGTTGGTAATTGTCCAGAGTTTCCCACTTTGAGTTTGTTAAGTTTAAAGAGGCCAATTAAAAGTTCTGCAGATTTCAAGCGGACTAAAACGCAGCTCCAGACAGCTGGCAGCCGCTCCTGCAGCTGACTGAGGAAACACTGAAAACCGTTAAAACTAAACTCGCTAATTGTTCTTTTTTTTTCCCAATAAACAACTGCAGCAATAATCACTTCTCAGGGGTGAAATTGTGTTGCGTTTCTTTTTGTTACTACAAACTCATTAACTTTAGTTATTAGATTGTTATCTTGGGCTCCGGGAAGCTGCAGTTTGCATTTTTCTTTTTTGTTTCCTGATCGATTCGTTGATTAGTCGAGGAGTTTTGTTCCTCCCGTCTCCTAAAGTAACCTTAAATAAACGCCTCTCCTGCAAATTTACGACATCATTAAATTAAATTCTGAATTCGTGGCAGACTTTGGATTACCGTCCTCAGCTGTTCTACTTACAGCTCTGATCTTGTGTAAAAGAAAGTGGAGAACAAACTTTTAGGAATACACAAGCCTTCTTCACAGCACTCTGCATATTATATATAATTGCACACAATCTGTCTAATTAAAAGAAAAGCTGTCATTTTACAAAAGGCTCAGCCTGAAAGCTTTCAATTATAAAAACTAATTACCCCTATTCTTTATTATTTTAGCTTGTTTTTGTAAATTCTCACACAAAGGAGGACTTTTTGTGTCCCAGAGCAAATTGTGCACATAAATAATAGATTTATTCTTTTTTTTCTGGCAGTTACCAGTATTAGAAAAACACCACCAGTCAACTCCAACTGAAGCCCCATCTCAGGTCTACAGTTAATCAATCAATCAACAAATGATTTACAACAATCTGCTGCAGCTGTACAGACACGAGGAGAGATTGTTAAATCACAGATGTTACAAACACAAACTTTTTTCAAGGGAATTTCACATCCCTGATGATTATGCATTTCTTTAAAAAATCATATTATTACTGCAGAGTAAAAGCAGGTTTAATTTAGGGCCTTTTTTCATGATTTGCACACCAAATTCAAAGAAAATGTTCATTTTGAAATGACGCTGACAGAGCATCAACCTGGAGGGATGTAGTAATGTCAGTTTAGAGCTGACCTTATTCAACCTGAGGATAACATCGACACTCATTAAGAGGCCGGAGACTGACCAGGTAGATCACAGAATAAACGTTATTCCTGATGACAGGAATTGTCTACCTCTGTCAATTGCTTAAGGGGACTCAACATCTGGCAGCTCCACATGTTGGATTTGGCAGTTTTTATGCCAGATGCTCTTTCTGACACCGCCCCAAAGGGATCTGTGTCTCCTGCTGGGAATAAATCTGGGATCTTTTGCTTGTTAGACAAAAAACTGAACATTTGCCAAAAAGACAAATGTGACGTATTTTTATAGATCAGCTGAATCTCGTTGCATGAAAACTTTAGAAGGACAGCTTATAGAGCAGGTTCAGAATAACAAACGTATTACTTTGAAGCCCTGCACAGTCTTGCTCTCACATTATAGATTTACCTGATATTTAAATCCTGTCGTCTTCCAATTTAATCACACTCTTTTTCTGGTTCTATGTCATGTTTTTATTTCCTGTTCTTTTGTTATCCGTGCACTTTTCTTTTTTATGTTGATGTTTTCTACTTTACATATAAATGTTCATATGTTGTCATTACATAGTGAACCTGAAAAGTGTTTTGCATGCATGTATTTGAATGCAATTGCTGCTTTACCATGAAGTCGATGTTGCTTTCTTCATTGTGGAAATACTCAATGAGCTTCTCAAATCGGTTTTTCTCCCCACAAACCTGAAAACAATAATAATAATAATAAAGATCAGATCAAACAGCAGCTGAGTATTCAACCCTCTTATTCTTTTTATTGTGCCCATTGCAGGTTTATAAATCTAGGTGACGTCCGTGGAGATTTGGCGCTTGCTGCCTTCCCCGTGTGTGCACACATGGGGGCAGTGTGCTCACACAGAAACATTGTTGCAGCCGTAACGATGCATCAGGATTTCAGCAAACATGCGGTCTAATCAAACAGCGCAGCGTTGAGAGAGAGGAGGCTCTGTCGGCTGTTTGTGGAGAAATTCAGCTCATTTCAGGGACAAACAGAAATAATGGTTGTAATAAAAGCAGCACAGGATGATTGCAGCTCGCTCTGCAGGTGTAAACAATCCCCGGTGTTTGTGTGCCGCATGATTTCCTGGCAGAGAAAACGTGGCTTCTTTATGACTGTGTTTTCCTAACTGCTGGCATGTCAGCAAGTTCCCTGTCTCATCCGTTGCTGTGTGGTAATCTACCTGCCCCTTTCTTGCCCACTCATGTCCACTGAATAATGCACCAGGCCAATCGAACAGCCAGCACAACCCTAAACAAAGCCCATGTTCTGCTGCTGAGGGACACATGAGCCAGCTCCTGGCCCCGCGCCCGGCCGCCTCTATCGCTCTCCCCATCTTCTTCCAGCTCTCGCCCACACACACATGCCGACACTGCTGCGGCACCGACGACAAGCTCCGCTCACGGTGACACTCGAGTCACAGCTCTGATAATCAATGCCACATTAATCAAACGGGTTAAAGCTGATGCAGCCAGAGGGTTTACACCGACGGTGTTTAATTCATCACTTCATTTTTTTAACATGTATATAGAAGTCTTTTAAAGAACTCCGCAAACACCAAACATGAAAGAATGGCATTGACCTGAACACACAGAGCTGCTTTAGAGATGACAGGGTCTTATTTTCTGTCTTAACAACTTGACGACTGCCAACCAACCAATTCCCAAGGATATTGCGTGGTAGGTGAGATTTCAGAGCATCTAAAGATCTCCGAATGGCATCCATTCATTCATCCATGCATTCACAGGAGGACAGACCCATGTCTCCTCTTCAAGCTGTGCCCTGCAGGCCCCATGGGTGAGGCCTTGCCAGTAGGCACTCCCCCTCGCCTGCTCCTGGCTCCAGGGTGGTGCCCCGGTTACTCTATGCCAGGCAGGGTAAACTGGATCCTGGATTTTTTGTTTTTCATGTCATCATCCGAATGACTCTTCATTTGCCCCTTCACCCAGGACTAATTTGCCTTGGGAGACGTAACCAAGTGCAAAAAGCCCCGAACAACATGGCCTCAGAAGCAGAAGATCAATCAAACTCAGTACAAGAGAAATAGGGATTATTTTAAACTGTGAATGATGCAAAGCTACCGTAATCAGATCCTTTAATAAAAAATGCAGAGCGAGAAATAGAGAAAAGATCCTCTTTAAGTATAAATTGAAATAAAATTGTTCTGTGTTTTGTACTCCTCCAGGGTAAATCCATTATTTAAAATGAGCTCAAATGTGAGATGTGCTTAAATTTGAATATTTAAATTAACATAACAGTGACCAAAGAAGCAATTTAATATGAGGGGTCAGTTTAGCTCACTGGAAGGAACTGAAAGAAATACTTAATGGGTGTCTGCTTGTTGCAGAGCAGCTTTTGACTTCCTGAATGTTTTCTCCTGGTTCAGGTTTAAGCTTCTGTCTCCACAGCCACAGGAAGCAACAGGTGCTACTTTCTCAATCAAAGACAGAAGAAGGTCAAGGAGAGGTGAGAGGCCACTCAGCAAGTGTTTCACATATTTATACCTCTTCGGTCAGTGTTGTTTGGCAGAGGAACAGCTGGACGGAGCAGCTGACGGCGGGCAGCTCGACCTGGGGTTCCCCCATAACCTGCTGGTATGTGAGTGCTGTGCCATAGATCTATGTTAAGCTTCTGATCCCTTAAGTGTGAATGTGAGATGAGTCATCACTGCTGAACACAGAAAGAAGGTCTAAAACCATGGTTGGCTTTGCACGATCTCCTTGTTCCTGTGTGGGGTTTCTCTGGGATTCTAATCAGTCCAAAGACCTGCTTTTAGGATAATCTGTGATTCTAAATTGGCTATAGTTATGTTAGACCTGTGATGGATAAGCAGTCCATCCAGGATGTATCCTAATAACAAGGTAAGCCCTAGACCTCTGAAATGAATATGTGGTTCAGAAAATTGGAAAACAAAGCAGATTTTTGCAGCACAAATTATTTACTAAATGACCTAAACTTTAAATTTCAGCCAGATCAGCGGATTAACTGATATTTTCCATTATATTTTAAGTTATATGTTCATATTATTTTGGTAAGAACTCATAAAAACTACATATAATGAATGTGAATAAAAAATAGTCATTTTAAAATCACTAAATATCCATATGAGTCTTAAAAATCCTAAACTTTTCATGCTCTAAATGAGATACTGGTGGAGAAATCCCCTTTACAGCGAGCACCCAGCTTAAATCTAACGTGCATGTTTTAGTATGGAGGGCCAAAACTTCAAAAATTAAATAACAAAACACATCATTACTACTAGAAGCTGTCTCAGCTTATTTCTGGTCATCTTCTTGTTCACCAATGTTGATTAAATCAATCAGAAGCTCAAATTAATTCAGTTAATTAATGTTCACACAGAGAGCAGGAATCTCCTAAAGCGGCAGCTACCAATGACACACCTCAAAAATACATGTGATGACTGTCAGCCACTGCAATGACTCTACTGACCTCTTTGAAGTTGTCAAAGGCGGCGAGGATGATGTCATGACCTCCTCTCACCAAACACACGGCCGCCAGCAGCTCCAGCACCAGAGCTTTAGTCCTGAAAAGACGATTGACGTTTATGCACTGCCCAGCAACTACTTTAAGATAAGATAAGATACCTTTATTAGTCCCATGTCTAATAAAGACGCGGGACATTTAAAGTCCGTCCTGAACACTAACACCTCGCAGATAATCACATCCATAGTTCTTGTACACTTTTCAGCTTATAGTTTAGTATACAGTGGCTTTCAAAAGTATTCGGCCACCTTGAACTTTTCCACATTTTGTCACATTACAGCTACAAACATGAATCTATTTTATTGGAATTCCACGTGAAAGACCAACACAAAGTGGTGCACACGTGAGAAGTGGAACGGAAATCATACATGATTCCAAACATTTTTTACAAATAAATAACTGCAAAGTGGGGTGTGTGTAATTATTCAGCCCCCTGAGTCAATACTTTATTGAACCACCTTTTGCTGCAATTCCAGCTGCCAGTCTTTTAGGGTCTGTCTCTACCAGCTTCGCACATCTACAGACTGAAATCTTTGCCCATTCTTCTTTGCAAAACAGCTCCAGCTCAGTCAGATTAGATGCACAGCGTTTGTGAACAGCAGTTTTCAGATCTTGCCACAGATTCTCGACTGGATTTAGATCTGGACTTTGACTGGGCCGTTCTAACACATGGATATGTTTTGTTTTAAACCATTCCACTGTTGCCCTGGCTTTATGTTTAGGGTCGTTGTCCTGCTGGAAGGTGAACCTCCGCCCCAGTCTCAAGTCTTTTGCAGACTCCAAGAGGTTTTCTTCCAAGATTGCTCTGTATTTGGCTCCATCCATCTTCCCATCAACTCTGACCAGCTTCCCTGTCCCTGCTGAAGAGAAGCCCCCCAGAGCATGATGCTGCCACCACCATATCTGACAGTGGGGATGGTGTGTTCAGAGTGATGTGCAGTGTTAGTTACACATAGCGTTTTGCATTTTGGTCTCATCTGACCAGAGCACCTTCTTCCAAATGTTTGCTGTGTCCCCCACATGGCTTGTGGCAAACTGCAAACGGGACTTCTTATGGTTTTCTGTTAACAATAGCTTTCTTCTTGCCACTCTTCCATAAAGGCCAACTTTGTGCAGTGCACGACTAATAGTTGTCCTATGGACAGATTCCCCCACCTGAGCTGTAGATCTCTGCAGCTCATCCAGAGTCACCATGGGCCTCTTGGCTGCATTTCTGATCAGCGCTCTCCTTGTTCGGCCTGTGAGTTTAGGTGGACGGCCTTGTCTTGGTAGGTTTACAGTTGTGCCATACTCCTTCCATTTCTGAATGATGGCTTGAACAGTGCTCCGTGGGATGTTCAAGGCTTGGGAAATCTTTTTGTAGCCTAAGCCTGCTTTAAATTTCTCAATAACTTTATCTCTGACCTGTCTGGTGTCTAAATCCAATCCAGAATCTGTGGCAAGATCTGAAAACTGCTGTTCACAAACGCTGCCCATCTAATCTGACTGAGCTGGAGCTGTTTTGCAAAGAAGAATGGGCAAAGATTTCAGTCTGTAGATGTGCGAAGCTGGTAGAGACAGACCCTAAAAGACTGGCAGCTGGAATTGCAGCAAAAGGTGGTTCAATAAAGTATTGACTCAGGGGGCTGAATAATTACGCACACCCCACTTTGCAGTTATTTATTTGTAAAAAATGTTTGGAATCATGTATGATTTCCGTTCCACTTCTCACGTGTGCACCACTTTGTGTTGGTCTTTGATGTGGAATTCCAATAAAATTGACTCATGTTTGTGGCTGTAATGTGACAAAATGTGGAAAAGTTCAAGGTGGCCGAATACTTTTGCAAGCCACTGTAGTTTCATGTTCAGGCTGTGCGTGGTGTTTACCTCGGGTTTCTGTCGTTCAGGCTGAGCGTGATCTCGTTCACGCAGGAGGGATGCTTCATCACTTGGTTAAACCCCGACTAAGTAAAAAAACACAAAAATCTGCCAACAGTTTGCCAAATAAGATTAAAGAATGAAATGAAACATGACCAGATTAAGTGGCTCTTGTGTGGACCAGAAAACAATATGAACTGCTGAAATGAAACAATACTTTAAAATTGAACTGAACTCTGACCTTACATATGGCATTTGTTTCTTAATATGAATTTAAAACAGCAAAGGACAAGTGTATAATAAGTGAATATCAACATGAAAAAATTACATTACCTATTCTGACATTTTTTGCTATCTTTAGAGAATGACTGATGGGAAATAAAAGTTAAACTCTAAGGATCAATTAATAAATAACAATAATACATAGTGTGTAAGTGGTTTTAGATACCTGGTAATTCATGATGGCACGCAGACACATGATGCAGAGATGAACATCATCTTTCTGGCTCACAACACGCGAGTTCCTCAAGGCTTTTCTGTTTTAGAGAGGTAAATCAGCCAGGTTTAACTGAGGCTTAACTGAAGAGCCGCTTTAATAAGACCTAGAATAGCACTGAAAATAAAGCCAATAATTATTACCCATTTACCCACTTTTTTAGAAGAATGTGCCAACTAATTCTTAATGAATTAATTTAGAAATAAATAAATAAATAAAGTCCATCGTCAGAAACTGCAGACTCTGTTTTAAGAAGCTCAAAAACTTCTGCAGTAAATACTTCAAATAATACTCATGCCAGCCATCATTCACCAGATGAAAACAAAACCACTGAGAGCATGCTCTCATAATTGTATTTTGCGTCACTTAGCGACATGTTTCACATTCACACCTAAGCACACCCCGTCTGAACAAAAGGACCCCAAACACCTACGTAAGGAGGCGTACTCGCTATGAGAGGAATGCAGCCACTTCCCATCAGAAAGATAAGAAGGACACGTCTGCAGCTGCTGAAGGTGAAGGCTAGGAGGAGATCATGATTTGAGTTTAAAAGCATGTGACCCTGCTCATTCCCAAATGACCTGTTAGGAGTGACCAATCACTCTCACTTATGCATTAAAACAGCGCATCACAGCACACACTCCAAAGGACACTTTACGTGTAAATTAGCCACATCGGCAGCTTTTTAAAGTGGTACTAATTGAGTCTCCAGGGTTGAGAATGAGCTCCTACGACTACATCAGCTGAATGGAAATAGGTCCCTGCAGCCAGCTTTAAGAAATCCTTAACAAGTTTTGCAGTGAGATGTGGATCATGGGCGTGCTGTCCATATACCCTCGGCCATGTGTCTATTTTTAGAAAACTTGTTTTTGGATAAACACTTAAGTCAGTTTAAAATGTTACTTTTCTCACTTTTCGGAGTATCAATAACATCAGTAAGTCATTTTAATGTAATAACAATGAAATAAATTAAAGTAGCCCATAAATTTATCACTGTGCTTTTGGTGTTTGTCACACTGTACCTGACTGTGAAGGCCTTGCCACCCTTCAAGGCGCTGTGTGTGGGTGAGTTGCTGGCACTTCTTTTCAGATCTTCCCCTGGTTTGTCAGTAGTTTTGCCTTTGTCTGTGGGCAGAGTGCCGTTGTCCACAGTCTCCACCTCATACCTGTGAGTATCACCATAAAAAGTAATGTTAATTAAATTTTGTGACCTTCTTGGACTAGTGAGTGACTGTGTGGCTGAGACAGTTCAGCAGCGACTGCTCTGAGATATCTTGTAAGCTGATACCTACGTGACAGCGCTGTGGGCGACAGACAGATAATCCACAAGAACGTCCAAACCCTGGTTCTCCTCATTTAAGAACTCCTGAGCCCAGCTACAGCAGGACAACACAAAACAAATGTAACTCAGAGGCAGAGCATGGCAGGAAAAGTTAGTAAAGAAGTGTTTTAAAAACATGAGTTAAAAGTTGTAATTTTGCTAATACTCACTATATTTCATTAAATGTGTTACAGGTGGTTGAAGAATTCACATTTTTATTTGAATTCATTGCTTCGGTGTAATTTTGTGTGCTATAATCAGCTTCTTATCTCTATCAATGGTACAATCATATTGTACCCACATGGGAGAGACTCACCCGATGTGATTGGTCCTCAGGGAAATCTCCAGCTCTCTCAGGACCTGTGTGGATTCCTGGACCCGTCTCCTAAACTGATAAAGCATATACAAGGTGAGAATGAGGTCAAAAAAATACTTAAAGATATCTTATTATACTCATTATAATATATTAAGTAATTGATCATTATGTGCCTCTCTGCTCTTCATCCATTTAAAGTAATCCACCTAAAGAACCTGCTTTTTCAGAACAAACAAACAAAAAAAACAACATTACTAAAGTTAAAGGTGGTTCTGCGAGCTACGGAGCTATCAGGTGGTCTTTTAGTTGCATGGACTGGACTGGACTGGATTTAGTTTGCACTTAGTTTGTTGGATAAAACAGCTGAAATACCAATATTTGAAATACTTTTAGATTACAGGTGATGAAAAAAGACTGCATATTGCCAGAAGGCTTAGCTGGAGGTGTGTCACTGCATAGCTACTGACTAACCAGAGGAGTTTGGAGGTTTTCTTTTATTATTTTTAAAGAATTAAATAGAAACATTTCAGTTTTTCCAAACATATAGCCAAGGCTCTACAGTCTATGAACCTTGGCTTATCCAGGTGTTGGCTTTACATAACATGATAAAGGAATGCTGGATATATTTGCAGTCAGGAACAGGGGTGTCCTAAATATTTTTAATAAGTACAGAACAGTAATCACAGCACACAAAGTAACTCTGCCTGAACAGACAGGGCCAACTTCAACCCACAAATATTTCTTACAGTAGAATATTTGTGGTGCCGTTCTATTTCCTGCCTCAAAAAGCTCAAGAATTTTATCAAAAGGTCTAAAATCAATGAGGCTTTTTCAAGAAGTTCATGTTTACTTTTCGAAAACAAACAGAAGCTTGAAATTAAAATGTTTGATTTGAGTTTGCTCCGATATACCTTTCGACTGACTCCTCCGTGATCCACAAAGCTCTTCAGCTTCTCCAAGTAAGCAGATGGTGGATTCTTCACTTGAAAGCGCTCCTAAAGATGGAGGAAAGAAACATTCAGACCTCTAATTATGTTTGATTGCAGCGCTGCAGCGATGGGGAAGGCAGGGCAGAGCTCAGCCGGGGTCTCACAGGAACAGGCTGATTACACCGCCTCAGTTATGCAAATGGTTGAAATGATTCGACTGCCATGCAGCGGCTACGTTCTCACACACACACTTTTCACTGTTCACGGCCTTTAGTTAAACCGAAAAACTGACACTTTCTGAAATGTGCCAAACTGTTTACTTGAGAAGCTGTATGACAGCAACGGGTTTATCTATCGCTCTCGCATCAACACACAGGTTGTTATGGACTCTCTTGTAGTTGCTATGGTGGTGTACAATATTGATGAGCTTCCTTGTGTTAGTGTATACGTAAGTCTGTGTTGGTTTCTTAACTTTGGCATTCAGCCATCTTACAAGAAGTTCAATTCGATTAATTGATTAAAACCGTCCTTTAACGTTTCTTCTTTTATCTACCTTTAATGGCTTCTCATGTTTGTTTACACTCCAAGCCTATTAACATGTACTTTACTACAAAGCAGAATCTCTTGCTTAGCGAGGTAACTTTACATTTACCTCATTGTCAGTGTTTACATTGCTGTGGTAATTTGTGCTGTATCACTGCCTGCTGAGTATAAACCCCAGTGTGCAGGTAGAGTAGTAGGAGGGTCTGTAGGATTTTAAAATCTTTGTCTTTCACTGTTATGACTATAAAATAATAAGAAATGCATGTTTTTAGGAACATCTTTATTTCTCCTTTTTTCTGTTGTCTCCAAAACATTTGTATTTTCTTAAGCCTTATAGACTTCTCCTTGCAGGCCTTTTTTGTTCTTTGCAGCTCAACCCACTGCAACAGAAAAACTCAGTTACAGTTTATTAGAATAAAAAAAAAAAGTAAATAAGTCCTGAACAGAATATTGAAAGTCTACCTGGTCACAGATCAGGTCCCACTTCTTCTCACTGTCGTACTGGCTGAGGATCTTGACCTTGTCTGGAGGAAGATTCATCGTGTTCTGGCAGCAGAAACACATGAAATAAATGTTAAAAAGTCAAATCTGTCGATTGGAAGCAATAACCTGCAGAACTTTTTCACATTGTTCACTTTTTATGTAGAGGTAAGTCAAAGAAAGTCAGCGATACAAACGCTGTTGATGGTTCACTTATGTACGAGCACTTATGTTGAATGTGACATGTGAAACAAACACAAATGAAGGGTGTAACATGATATCCACAGGGGAATGATGAATGAAAATAAAACATAGGAAAATCAAAATAACTGGGATTTACCCCATTGCAGAGCAGACAGTACACATAGACATTCATATGCGTACACTGCGATCATTAGAATCATATAAATGTTCCACATTTACAGTTTGATTACACTCAGGTCCATGTGAAATCACTCATTTTGGTAGTCAAATGCTAATTTGTATTTTGAACAAAGGTGTGTCCTAAAGGTGTGTCGGAGCTGCTGCACCACTGAAATCTACAATAAGACTGCAAAGTAAATAACTTCAGCATTCTTAGTGTACAACTACAACAACTACAAGTACAAACTAGGTAAATGTTGCTCAACACAAGCAAGTTACAGTTCATATACTTAGCCTATTATGATGCAACAGCAATTACCACAAAAAATGAATAAATAAAAAATAAAATAGTGAGGTACATGTTCTATTGAGGACAAAAGGACAATTTGACATTTTTTAAGAAATGCTATTTAAGATTAATATTGATCATTGTGCTAATGGCTCACATACATGCAAGGTGTGGTCAGACTGCTCTTCTGGTTGGATGTTGGAGTAACTGAGGCGTTTCTTGTCTGAGAATGTGGAGACTTTAAATGCACCCGTTTATCACAGGCTTTTGTAAGTGGTCAGTGTGTACTACGCTTCACCGCCGCTAGCTGGAGTCACTAAACTGAACTTCTCCACTGTGTGTGGGCTTTTTAATGACATATTTAAAAGAAGAACAGCATTATTGTGTAGTACAAACCATCCAAATTCTAGCATTTTAGCGGTGTTACTCAACACTAAACAGCAGATATCTGCATTGCTCTTCTATTTTGTTGTTTACACAGTCGATTACCCTCATCCTCTGGTCTGTAATTTATTTATTTATTTTTTATCTACAATGGCTCTAATACCCATATATATAATTCTACCATGCTACCTTGTAGCTCTTTCTTAAAGAGGCTTCTGAAAGAAGGCCTACTGTGCGTTATTTTTCATTTTTAAACAGCATCAGACCATGCTGCCACAGTAACCTATATTCTCATTGATCTCTCTGTGCTCTGAATTATTTACAGATACATTCTGTGTTGAAAAACAGTCATGTGAATGTGTGAATATGGAGATCTTCCAGGAACCAACATGGTCACAGGCACGGGGTCCTCTCAAGCCCCTTTGACGACATCTTCAATAATTAAAGACTCTGCTGCAGGCCGTTATAAGTCTGGCAGTGAGTTACTCTGAGAGTCACAGGTCTTTGTAATTATCAGCTGTATGCTGTCATGTTACACTACAGTTTAATCACATATAGCCTACGTCTCAGAGCGGGATTTTAGTTCACATTGTGTTTTGAAGAGTGTGTGCTGATCCTCCCCTCTGATAAAGTGCAAGTCAGGATGCTGCTGGTTCTATACTCCTGATGTCAGCTGTTTGACAGATGAGTCAGATACTGTCAACCAGACATTTGCTTTTGTTTATGATAACTGATATCAGATTATAAAAGTTCCTGAGAAGTAAAGATAAAAGATTGTCACCACATTCCTCCCATTTTCACAACTGGGTGGTGTCCCAAACAACAAACACAGACACACGAGCGGCACCGACTATAACCCACAGAGTTGTGAAACTAGGCTAGTCGACAGGAGAATCCCGCTCAAGCATGACACACAGCTCCTCGTATCTTATCTGGTATCCTGAGCAACTCGGGCATCACAACCTCAGCATGGTGTCAGTGACACTGACTCAGTCTGCTCAGGAATGTCCCTGTCATGTCACCAACAAACAAATTCACACCACTGTCTGAATTTGAACTTCTCAAAAATTTAAGTCAGGCTTTTTATTCATCCAGAAGTAGAGGCCGAATCCCACTAAATGCTAAAAGATGGAGAGCTGCTGTCAGGCATGTCAATCTGGAAAATGGGTCAGTAGATCAATGCTGGATGTGCATCTGATAAATCAAGCCTGATGAATGAAGCTGGTGGGTCAATACGTGCTGGTTATGTGTGGCCGGATGGAAACTGAAAGAGAAAAACAGCACTGGCATTTTCCAGTGTTGGGTTTAAAATACAACATTAGCAGGACACGACACGGCTTTGGCTCCAATATAGTAACATAACACAGACCTGTGTGTGACCCACAAACACAAAAACCTTGTAAGTTATCAGACTTTAAATCACATTGTGTGTGTGCGTGGGGGGGGGGGTGGCCCTTTTGTCATCTCTTCCCAGTCTCTAATCTACCACATCTGATGAACCAGTCGAAAATGCCTGACACGGTTCAAACTTATAGTCAGTCTGAGACAAAATCCCTGAAGGAAGTCCAGTCTATTTGATTATTATCCTGAACTACATGCAGTACTTGTTTTCTAAAGCAATATGCAAGGGGTTTGATGTGTTTTATTCTCCACCGTCATGCAATACAATCACCAGATGTTTTGCACGAGGGCTGCAAACTATGTGTATGAAATTTCATGCCAACTAGGAAGCATAAAAACTGCAGTTCACTGACAGGTGTGTCATCACAGCTCACTGTGCTTGTGCTTTTCTAGATTCTGTGGATTGTTGTGGTTAATTAATCAGACCAGTAAAACTAGAAAGATTCTATCCATCTCTTAAGTCTGATGTGATCAGCCATCTGGTCTAAACTCTTCTTCGATTCCAAAACTCAAACATGACTGAGAGCTAAAAATGGCCCAACTACTTTCATCTTCAATGAATTGTGAGCATGGCTGCTCTCTTAGGTGTCACACTGAAGTTCAACAACATGGCAGTGATGAAAAAAAGGATTTAGAGGTTAAACTGACTTAGACGTTAGCGGGAAGTTGGCTTGTTAGTTTCCATCTATGGATGAAATCCCACGTTATGACCAGAGATGGGCAGTAACGCGTTACTTGTAACTTGTAACGCGTTACTGTAATCTGATTAGTAAGGGATTACTATTGCAAAATCGGTAATTAGATTACCGTTACTTTCCCGTAGGAACGCTGCGTTACTGCGTTACTAAAACCGTGATTTTTTTTGCGAGAATGTCTCATGACAGTGACGTAAGCAAGTGCGACGTTGGTGACAGCAGCTGTGTGCAGATCAACAATGGATCATATATCGAGTGCGGGAGAGAGTATGAGCGTGCAGCGTTTAAAGCGTGGAAGTACTGACCTTACTTTGAGTTTGATTCCATAAAAAGTGACAAAAACATTAGTGTCCGCTGTGCGTGGGAAGAAAACTTGTTTTTACAGCGAAAAAAACCCCTAAACTTCCGAGCAAGTGCTGAGTAGCTACGACGTGATGGGAAACTCACAGAGAAACTCGCGCGGATTCTTCAACTGACCGCAGCACACCTACACCAGGGTAACCCTCCGCCTACCCTGCTCCTGCTTTACAGGTGAAAATAGAGCAAAAGGACCGCTGAGTCTTTGACTTTATTTATTTTCTGCTGTGTTTTACTTGCATCTGTTTGAAAGAGTGAGTGAAAACACAAAAAATATTTTATTTTATGAGCTGGAATGTGTAGAAAATAGGTTTAAATGTTAAACTAATTTATTCAAGTCAGAGAATGTTGCATATAATTAAATGTTTTGCTTGATGCATAAAGTTAAAAGATTAAAACTAATAAAACAAGTTTTAAAAAGAGACTTTTCCATTTGATTACATTTTGTATGATGGATTATGTAGAAAAAGTAGAATTGGGCTGAAAGATCTATCACTTTATCACCTCTTCAGGTTGTAAATTGTGTTTTTAAAAAGTAACTAAGTAACTAAGTAACTAAGTAATTAATTACTTTTGAAAATAAGTAATCAGTAAAGTAACGGGATTACTTTTTGGGGGGAGTAATCAGTAATTAGTTACTGATTACTTTTTTCAAGTAACTTGACCAACACTGGTTATGACTCAGAGATTTATAAAAACTGAAACGTGCAGCTGTATTGCTTCATAAATGAAGACAGAAAGTTAAACAGCAGCCATGTTTATGGGGTTATTGAAGATGGGCTAGCTAGCATATAATGGTGTGCTACTAGGTGGCTGCCTACAGACCTATGGTTAGGATAATATAGGAAAGCAAAGATGGAGGATGAATTTTAGACTTTTATCTCTCAACATAAACCAGTGTGAGGGTGTAAAAGAGATGAATGCAATCATATGTCAGAGAAAAGATGCTGAAAACGAAGCAAACTTCAGTCCAGAGAAGACCTGGGACAACCAGTCAACACGCTGCTGTGTGGTTTGGATTACTCGCTATGAAAAAGTCTCATGCCCACTCTTTTCTGAAGCATTTATATGTTTAGTGTCCGGCAAACTATGAGCCCAAGAGTTGAAAAAGACAACAGTTAATGAAAGCAGCTTGGAGCACAGAAGAGCTAGCTTAGACCTTCATTCGATCCTCTCATCTAAACACTAAGCACTAGCAGAGGCTACTACAGATGTGCACCTACACATACGTACATGTACAAAAAACACGAGCGAGGTTGTTATGTATTGATTTTGTTGCAGTAAAATAATAATATTCCTACAAAATGCTAACATCTGTATTCATACAGCTGCTTTTCCATAACAGCTGGTTCAGCGATGAAATGCTTTTAAATCTTTAAAGCCATTTGCCCCCAACTAATAACATAAACTGACAACAGGCAGCCTGCAGTGCTAAACATGGAAGCAGGGAGAGGCTATAAAAATACTTTACATAAATGAGCCATTATAACCTGTATGGAAATCTTCTGATGGTCTAGGAAGATTATGAGAGGCATATAATGATGATTATAAACAGACATGGTGTGTAACTAGACTTT